AACCTTACTGCACGCGAGGCCGCTGCAGGCAGGACAGTCGCGCGAGGAAGTGAACCTTGGCTTGCGCTTGTTCTTGGGCATCAAGAACGTGTTTCGCCTGCGCCGCATCCACCGGCAGGTGGGCCAGTCGGCGTACAAGGACTCGCTGCTTCGCGTCCGTGATGCCGCGCACACGAAGGAGGACGTTCAGCTGTGGCAGTCCCACGACTTGACCAGCCCTTCGTGCGCGCTGACGCCGTCTGAGCGCGTGGCATTCGAAAAGGAGCGCATCCACATGTTTTGCGAGAATCGCAAAGCCGGCCTGTTCAACGGCCAGCGCTTAGGCGAGCACGCAGCCGAGCAAGGTCGCGGCCACATCCTTAGAGTTTGGTCCGTGGAGAGCTCGGAGATGACGGAGCGGCACAAGTGCGAGCACTACGGCCAGCTTCGCCGCGTGCTGCATCTGGCACAGGGGGCACACGTAATGCTAGTCTTGAACTTAAGAACTTGTTGGAACTTAGTCAATGGCTTAAGAGGGACAGTGGTGGCAGTCCTCCTAGAGCCTCAGCAGTCAGAGTCAGCTGCGTCGCTTGGCGTTTCGGCCGGCGCTGCGCGCAGAAAAGAGCGTGCTTCGGAAACAGGCGGCTTGTCCGCACGCCAGGTAGAATACGTAGTGGTGGACTTCCCCGGGTACATCGGCCCCGAGATGATACCCGGGCAGCCAACTTGGGTGCTGCTCCAGAAGGAAACCGTGCGACACCAGCAGTACCCGGCCTTGAGCCGCACGCAGTTTCCCATCGTGCTGGCGTACGGGATCACCGTACACAAGAGTCAAGGCCTGACTCTGCGCGATGGCTGCGTGTTCAACGTAGACCACGAGCCGACGTGGTCGCCGCTCAAGTGCCTTGGCCTGGCGTTTGTCGGCATGTCCAGAGCCACGGACTTTGCGCGCATGGCCTTCAAATACGTGCCAGACTACTGGGCCTTCCGCGCCGTGGCCGACACCGACTTGTTTCGTTGGCGAGCAGAGCTAGAGAAGCGGCTGGACGCGCTGCACGATGCCACAGCCAGTGGCATGTTTGGAGGCGCCGTGTCCGTAGAAGACGACCTCGCCCGCCACGTGGCATGGTCGGAGAGCCGGCGGCAAGTTCCCATGACCGCTGCAGAGGTCGAGGACTTGCGGCAAATGCTGTCTCTGCGCGGAATGCTGAGCGCCCCGCACTACGACGACAAGCCGACAAAGCTTCCCGCCTCGAAGCTCGGCGGCGGCCGCAAGCGCCGCAAGACCATGCGGGCAATGTCCGCGGCCGAGTACACGGCAGACCCGGAAGAAGGCCGCCAGGCCTACGAGGATGAAGAAGACCTCGTGCAAAAGTACGGGGACTTGTCCATGCCTGATGAGCTACCGGACTCCGAGCCGGAGTTTTTCGGAGAAAAGTTTTTGGAGGAGCAGTGTTCCGACGGCGACTACGAGTAAGGGGCCGCTGCAGGCCATAGGTGGCTTACTTGCACGTCTTTCGGCAGGCTGCAAGCCACAGGAGCGCGCGCAGACAGCGGCCGCTGCGCTTGCTGTTTCGAGCGGCGCACGGCCTTCACCTCTACAAAGCAGCCTTGTTGCCACGCGTGACATAGCGCAAAGCTGCAAGACACAGGAGGTTGCTTGTGTGTTCTCCTTTCTCCTTTGAGCAAGCTGCGCCCTCCTTGAGCATCCTTTTGTGTAGCCAGCACTGCTGGCCGCTGCGCTTGCTGTTTCGAGCGGCGCGCGGCCTTTACCTTGACAAAGCAGCCCTATTGTTGCCGCGGTCATTACGCATGTTTGTCGTGGTTAGTGTGGTCCCCTTTTCGTAGCGGCGGCAGGCGCGCGCACCGGTGAGGGCTGTGGGCGGGCGCCGGTGCCGCGCGGCCGACCGGCGTTTCAGGTCCCTTTGTTTGCTGTCACTGGTTAGATTGTTTCGATTCGTAATGGCCGCTGCAACAACAGGGCAGACGCCGCGCGAGTCTGTGAAAACGACCGAGGGGGGAACGCGACTGGCAGGGACGACGGGAGCGCACGCGCGAGAATGACTCAGTAAGGCTGAGGCAGCAAGGGCAGGGGGACCGTTGTTATTTCCTCTAGATCGCAGCTAGGTTGTTGCTGTGACCTTTGTTTTTTTCTTGCAAGGCCAGTTGTTGTACATGTTTCAGAGGGCCCTGTTTCGGCGATTTTGGGGGGAGTTATCACTGCTTTGTCGAATCTGGCTATGTTGCTTTCATCAGTATCTCAACGTGTTCGTGCGACGTTCTCTGCGGGACAAGAAAACGCACCAATTGGTTGATTTCTGATGCTAGTGATCCCATTGAAGTAGGTGGCCAGTTGTTGTGCATGTTTCAGAGGGCCTTGTGATTTGGAGATGTTGGGGGGAGTTTTCGCCGTTTCGCTTCTGCAGCTTTTTGCATTGACGTCTGCAGCTGTTTGCATTGAAGTATCCAAGCAGCATGAAGACAAACATATAGGGTATAAATAAAGTCCAGCGGGCAAGACCGCGCGCAGCGAGCGTGCCGTTTCGGGCTGCACGCAAGAGCGCGAAGCTGAGCGGGCATGCTGTGTCGGGCCGCGAGCAGCGGGCGTGCCATTTCGGGCCGCGCGGTAGGATGAGATACACAAGAGTTCCCGTCCGGCGGGGGGGGGGGCCTGCCGGAGAAAAAGTATCGTGCTGCGGGCGTGCCGTTTCGGGCCGCGCGCGAGAGCGCGGAGCCGAGCTAGCGAGCCGTTTCGGGCCGCGCGGTAGGAGGGCGCGCCATGTCCGGCCGCGCACGAGGATAAGAAAAAAAAGCTCCCGTGCGGCGGGGGTAAAATTGCTGGGCACACACTTAAGTAGGCGGAGCGCGTAGGGCCAGCCGGGGAAAAACTACCGCGCTGCGAGCGTGCCGTTTCGGGCCGCGGGCAGCGGGCGTGCCGTTTCGGACCGCGCGGTAGGATAAGACAAACAAAAAAGTTCCCGATCGGCGGGGAAAAAACTGCGGGGCATAAAGTTAAGTGGGCAGAGTGCGTAGGGTCGGCCGGAGAAAAACTATCATGCTGCGGGCGTGCCGTCTTGGGCCGCGCGCTAGGATAAGCAAAGCAAAAGTTCCCGTCCGGCTGGGATAAAAAATGCTGGGCATAAACTCGGGTGGGCAGAGCGCCTGGGGCCTGCCGGGGAAAAGCTATCGCGCTGCGAGCGTGCCGTGTCGGGCCGCGCGCCAGAGCGCGAAGCCGAGCCAGCGTGCCGTTTCGGGCCGCGGGCAGCGGGCGTGCCGCTTCGGGCCGCGCGCTAGGATAAGCAAGACAAAATCTCCCGATGTGCGGGCGAAAAAGATAATTGCGTGGTATAAAGCTAAGTGGGCAGAGTGCGTAGAGTCAGCCGGAGAAAAGCTGTCGTGCCGCGGGCGTGCCGTCTTGGGCCGCGCGCTAGGATAAGAACAGCAAAAGCTCCCGTCCGGCGGGGACAAAGCTGAGGGGCGTAAGCTCAAGTAGGCGGAGGGCGTGGGGCCAGCCGGAGAAAAAAGATCGCGCTGCGAGCGTGCTGTTTCGAGCCGCGCGCCAGAGCGCGAAGCCGACCTAGCGTGCCGCTTCGGGCCGCGGGCAGCGGGCGTGCCGCTTCGGGCCGCGCGCTAGGATGGGAAAAGCAAAAGTTCCCGATCGGCGGGGAAAAAAACTACGTGGTATAAAGCTAAGTGGGCAGAGTGCGTAGAGTCAGCCGGAGAAAAACTGTCGTGCCGCGGGCGTGCCGTCTCGGGCCGCGCGCTGGGATAAGAGAAGCAAAAGCTCCTGATCGACGGGGAAAAAAACTGCGGGGGTGCTTAGCGATTTGGAACTATTGGAGCTATATATCAGCGAAGACATTGGCTAACAGAACCAAACTCGAGCCTAGCAAGTTAACCTTTGAGATTTCTGGCGCCGTCGAGATGACGCGCGTGTTAACCCCCAGCTTTCGTGCTTGATGACGCGCGTGCCGTTTCGGGCCGCGCGTTCGTGTCGGCGCGTGCCGCGTCGGGCCGCGCGCTCGCGCGGACTGCTGCACCGCTGAAGCAGACGAAGAGAAAAGCCTAGCTTTTGCGCTTGACACGCGTGCCGTTTCGGGCCGCGTGCTCCAGCCCAGACTACAGCACGGCTTGGGCAGACGCAAAGAAAAGGCGCTCTCGGGGGGGAGGGAGGAGAGTTGAACTTGAAGCGCTCGTTGGGAGCTTTGGAAAGGGAAAGAGAAGAGAGAGAGAGAGAGAGAGAGAGAGAGAGAGAAAGAGAGAGAGAGAGAGAAAGAGAGAGAGAGAGAGAGAAAGAGACAGAGAAACAGAAAGAGAAAGAGAAAGAGAAAGAGGGAAAGAGAGAAAGAGAGAAAAAGAGAGAGAGAGAGAGAAGCAAGGGGCCAAGGACAGTTCTCCAAACTATAGTTGTTCACTGCTTTGAAACTTCCGCCCCCCGGCTCTGCCGGACCTTACTTGTAATAGCTAGGATCGGAAGAGGCTATCCCACGCAATGGGGCACCCTAAGAACATAAGTCCCACACGCTTAAAAGATGCAAGGCAATGGTGGGCTTGAAGTGTTCCTTCACAGCTCCAACAACAGCTGTTTTCGTTTGTTTTGGCTCGTCAGGCGCAGGGTGCTCGACACATGTCCGTCAACTAGCAGCAAGGAAGCCTCAAAGACAGGTGTGGCGTGTTCTCATTTCGCCCAGATATTGATATAACAAAATGGCATGGTCTCCCGCCCACGAACATCTCTTGAAGAGGCAATGAGTCTTCCACTACCTTCCCACAGGTGCTGTGTGGGTCTTGCTTGCCCAAAGTGGTTTCTGTGGTGTCCATGTTTATGGCCCCACCAGACGATCATCTTTTATTTGTTGTCTGCTATTGTGCTGGATCTTTAGACTTTAACTTTTGGGAAATGAATGGGTTTTCCACTAAACCCACAAACAGTTAAGCTTTTTGCAGAGGGGTCAACAGCAGCAAAGATTTCAGTTCCTTTGTGCAAGTGAGTGGAAGCGAGGGTATCGCCCACGCCTGAGGCGCAGCCTCGCTGGCAAGCTCCAGCTCAGGGTGTTTGGTGCGCCGAAGCGTTTCAAATGGACGGGTCACATCTCAGAGACTTGGAAGCGCAAATGTCTTCTTTTTGGTTTGGTGAACCTTGGATGGCTCTGGTTTCCGTTTGATTCGAACCGCTTGCCCGTGCCATACATGTTTTTTTTCTGAAAGGGCACTTAGGCCCTTGGCCCCTCTCTGTGTGGCCATTTGCTTAAGAATATTTTGAATATTCCCTTGTTGGTTTTAAAGGGAATCTATCACTGCTGGAGATATGTTTCATTTTTTCCAGAAGGCTTAAGATGGAAGATCATTAGTGAGCTTCCATCCCAGTGCACTCAGAGGCAAGAGAGCCACATCACCGAATCACTGCGCAGGTGTCCCCCCGACCCAAGCCTCGCTTCGGCGCCTCTGCACAGTCTCTGGGGCCGGGCGCCAAAGCCGGGAGGGGACCGGAGAACGTGGCAGGTCCGTGGTGTGACCTTAGACCTTTTGGACACAAATGGCCATGGGTCAACAGCCAAATTGTACCCCCAGTAAACATCCCAATCCACACTAAAATAGACTAAAATGGGTGGTGCACCTACCCCAAATTGGTACCATTCGTTTTGACCCACAGCCAAATGGCTTTTCCCATTCTGTTTACCCTACAGAAAATCAGAGCTTTTGCTCAGAAAGGCGATCCGGAGGGATAAGCCTAGGCCAAGGGCTTAGTGCCCATTCGCTGGAGAGGACTTGAGGGTGCGACTCCTCACCTGTGAAGGTCCCTGAGAGTTTTTTTTTCATGCTGTGAATAGCATTGGATAGCTAGATGTGGCCATGGTTCAATACCAATGGGATCCCATTTTGGGACAGGCGCACCACCCATTTTAGTCTATTTTAGTGGGGATTGGGATGTTCACTGGGGGTACGGGACCGAGCGTTTGCGCTCCTTTTCGAATCAAGGGTGCTGTGCCCTAAGTTTCACCTTCCCAATGTTTCGCCCGTGGAGCCATATCAAGTATCACCAGGTGAAGGATGTATGTTCATCAGTTGGGAGGTGAGATGCTTGTAGGGGTTTACCACCCAGCATGGGCTTCACTCCGATTAGGCGACCAAGAAATGTGTGCAACCAAGCCGTTGCTTCGTCCAATGTGTCCAAAGAATCTCTAGGTTTCCCGATTGTGAGGAGTGGTGCCTGGAATGCCTCTCCCCGCCTTGCCAAAGGCACAACGTGGAAAGTCATGCGGCTCTGCTCACAGTTGGCCATCCTCATGGCCTAGAATCCTGAGTTCTCCGCACGCAGAGAACGTGTGGGCGTGATGTGGCTTACCCACATGTCGGAAACCCCTGCTTCCGTGGCTAGTGACCACTTACATACAGTCGAGTGCAATTTCGGGGATTGTGGAATCTACGTTTACCGTGATTTAGCCAAGCTGCAGTTTCATCAGCAACTGCAACGTGCACAGATGTCACCTCTCAAATTGTTGTGTCCGTCTACTCTTGGGAAAGCTCAGGCGAAAGTGACCACTGATGTGAAGTTGATATCGCTGGGGCAAAGTATTTTCATTTGGGCGTGCTCTTGAGGTGCAGGGTAGTCAGGTGTTTTATTCGGGGCGCTGGGGCATTCAGTGCGTTCCAGGTTCATGGCAGAAGGCAGCAATCCAAACCCAGGAAGTGCAACCTCCGTTTGTGACTCGCATGGGGCTAGGCCCCCATGGAAAGTATCCCTGCAGACACCCTCCCAGGTGAGCTCACAGCTCACTATTCGCGCAGATCCTACGGCGTCTCCTTCCACTGAATTGATGGACGTACGTGTTACCCTACCCAGAGGGGTTGTCAGAGCCCTGCCAAGAAGCCTCTAGCTTGACTGGATCTTTAGACTTTAACTTCTTGGGAAATATAGGTGTTTTCCACTAAACCCCCAAAAAGTTAGATTTGTTGCCGGGGTGTCAACAGCAACCAAGCTAAGTTTCTTCCAAACCTTCCCTGCCGGGTCGACTTTGTCCGTCCCCTTAGGTCCACCCGGGCTTCTCTGCAGGCCTTGGCTGAAGAGTGCAGAGCGGCCAACGGTCAGCCAGCCGGCCTTTCTTAGTTTTCCTCACCTGGAACCGTTGGGTGAAAGTTGTGCCCATTTTACTTCAACCGTCCGTACTTTCCCACCTTTGGCAGCCTTTTCCCACAGACCTTGATCTTAGCGTGCTGGTGGGTGACATAGCGGAGAGTGATGCGCAGGGTCAAACGAGGAAACTGCCTGGACAAGCGGAGCCCAGCACAACGGTGTCCCCTCCCCCCCAGGTCAAAGAGCAACAGAAAGCCAGACAAATCATATTAACCTCACAGAAAAAAGAGCAAAGCACTGATATGGGGAGGGTGGCTCTTTTTCGAGGGTGCCAAACCAAAAGGCAACCCCGAACGGTTTTGACATGCAACCAACTGGCGACCCCTTCCGGCAATGGGCCCACGGGTAGCAGGGCGTGGATCTTCCAGGGACCGATTGACCAACACATCGACCCGAGAGGTTGATCTTGTATTCACCGGTTCTTTTTGGGAAAGTGAGAGTCTCCCACCATCGGCATGGCAGAGCTGAACCGGATTGAACCGGATTGCGTTAAGTCTGCGGGCAGGTAATTTTAATTCCCTTACAGTGAACGTCGAGCCGCTTGTGGCCACTACTTGAGTCAAGAGCCTGCATGTCATCATGTTCAGATCGCCCCTCAATGGACTAGGACCCTGAGAATTGGTACTAGTGGTTCTGAGTAACCTCAAGTTCACCTCCAGCCAAGCCCTCGTGGCCATTCAAAGCTCGCCACTCGTCCCCTGTCGTAGTGCACGTGCGCACCAAATCACACCAACCAAAAAAAGCACAAATGCCAGAGTGCTGATTGCTCACGTGCGTATCCTTGAGCGTGGCTTACAGTCTCCGCCCGAAGGCGCTGCCAAGAAATCGTTGCCCTGGCGGTCGGTTTCCCTACGACTGCGATGGGCGCAACAGTTGGCGGTTTGAGACCGCGGGCCTGCTTGGCAAAGGCAGAGTGCCCGCATCACTGCAGCAGAGTGAGCCTTTGTTCGGCAGCATCCTTCAGCCCTACGGTTCGGGTTCTATCTACCTCGTCGTTCAAGTCTTTACATTTTGTCTAGGGCTTTAGGCTAGGCGACTAGCCTGACTATGTTGCTCAGACCCTAGCGAACCACACACACACACACACACAAATGCACATATAGGTGTACATATGCATGGATATATACTCACACACATATATATATATATACATAATATATATATATATATATATATATATGCACCCCCCCCCCCATGGACCCTAAAACACTGGAAAATACAGGTCAACCGCACCAAACCAGGGTCCATGGGGGGGGGGGGTACCATATATATATATATACATATATATATATGTGTGTGTGTGTGTGTCACGCACAGCCACGCCTGACAGTGCCGCGTCACGTGCAGGCGTCCAACTCCGAGTTGGCATGAGTGACGAAGCTTCGGGGCTCCGGCTCTAAGAGACGGGCGGGCCCCCAAAACGAAATGGGGCCTCACCCCCGGTGTGCCATTACGAAGCCGCGCTGTGGAGAGGGAGCCACTTACACTGGATTGAAAGTAGATGGCACAATCTTCCTTCTTCGAGAAAGTAAAAGGGATGACTAAACTGAAATGGGGGGAGTTGTGCCATCTACTTTCACCCAATTGTACCAGCTCAGTTGGCTGATTTGAGGGGTGGACCATCCTCGTTTTGGGGATCATCCAAGCAGTCACTGGGGAGTGGCCATCTAGATTCAACCTTTGGCCCAACTAACTTTGTTCCTGCTGTACGTCCTAAAGCATCCAGGCATGGGCCTAAAATCCGGTAGAGCACATTACCAGGATCAGGGTCCCAAATGACAATCAAATGTGATGTTAAGTGACCTCCTGTTGAAGTCTGTGATTCCCCTGCGAGGTAGCAGAATATCGGAACTCTTGAGGTGGCACGGGCACCAACGATCTCTTCATGGAATCAAAGTTTGCAGCTTCACGACTCGGATGTTGTATGAGGTTGGAAACTTATGTCTCGAAAGATGCGAAATCTTTGGCATTCTGGATTGGCAAACTGAGCAAGAACGACGCTTTGGAAGATGCTGGGCCAAAGGGGTTCAAAGCTTCTGAAGCCAACCACTTCAGACTCTCAGAGAATGCGAAACTTGCCAAATGAGGGGCGTTTGATCGTGACAGTAGCAACGCTTGGCAAGGGCAGCCGTGAAGAATAGTGGCAGTGACCCAAGTCATTTGAGAACTCATGTTTGAGCCGATTTGGAGGCTGTCGGGACGTGGGGTGTACAGCAGAGGTTCCCCACAAGAAATGATGAAGCCTTGCGAGGATTTCCTCCTGAGGATCCATCGAGGCCCCAAATGAATAGAGACCAGGGCTTTGTGAATCCTGGGCTCGCATTCAAGCATTTTTGTTTGGTGCCCCAGAACCACGGCGCGAGCTTACCGGAGGGTTTGGCTAGTTGCCACATGGCAAACCCGAACCCACCGGGCCCGGAATTTCTCAGGCCCCTCTCAACTAAGCTCAGCTTGGCAGGGCCGGTGTCTGATTGCCAAGAATGCATTCTGGGGAAAGAAGGGTGCCCAATCAGGAATGACAAGAGCAAGACATTGAAAAGAAATTCCCGGATAAATGCAATTTGGAGTCAATGTTGCCTGTCAAAGCTGCCGGTGAAATCAGAAGCGAACAAACAAACACAAGATTCCAAAAAAACGTGGGCAAGTGCTGAGCCTGGAAATGTATGCCAAGGGAATGTTCCGATACCCAGAAAAGGAGAGGTAGCCATGCCTTGAAGTCTTTTCTGAGTAGTCAAACACTTACCAGGATACCGTTCTAGGAGGTATATGAAGATACTGTGAATTATGTTTGTTTCCCCTTGCCTGTTGCTTGCCTGTTGGTAGTAGGGACTGTGGGACATGAACCCGGTTGCGGGCAGCAAGAAGTATTTCCCCAGAACTCACTCGTCCAGAATACGATGTGTTCGTGTACGTTGATGTTTTCAATCCTTTGATGACTGCGCATGGGCCTGACTGCTTGGGTTCAACAACCAAAAGATCACGTTTTCTTAGTAGGACAAACTGGGAGGAGTCGAGGGTGCAGGCTGAAGAGGTGGTTGTCCCTTGCTTGAAGGCAGTGTTTCGCAAACTTGGAGTGGCTGTGTTGTTTCGGTGGTTGGTTTCTCTCTGCCTACTGTGGGGTCAGGAGGGTGCCCAATGCCACCATTTGGTGAGTGTGAGGCAACCCGCCTCTGACCAAATTTGCATTAAGACATAAATGCGTGTACCAAGGGTGCTGAAGTTGAGTGGGTCTTGCCTCTTGCCTCCAATAGAACCGCACCCGAGCCTGGGCGGTCCATGTCATCCAGCGACGGCTTCTGCAAAGCAAAGACAAATTTGGGTGAGGGAAGAAGGAGCTATTCAAGCAACAAGGATCAAAACAAGGCCACAACAAATGCGAGGAGGAAGTGCCCAGGCTGGGTGGATGCGAGTTTGCATCCTACCCCTTTTCAAATTCACGTTCCCGCGTCCCGTCAAAAGTCAGGGATGGGAACTGAGCTGGGCGAAGAGAGGCCCGGCTGGCTGGGTTTTTCTTTGTCTGGAGAGGAGTGGCTGCAACGATGCGCAGCTCGATTCTCCGTGGCAGCGCAGCTATTTCACCCGATCTATGGGTGTTCTTTTTTTGCCCGAAAGCCGAAAGGGTGCGCGAAACGGGGTCAGCCGACTGGCTCCCAAAAGCTCTATGAATCAACCTTCTGTGCGAGCACAGGCGTCCGAAAACCGCCACGTCCTTAGCTTTGGTATTGCAAGGGGGGTCTCAACATCGGCCGCCCTTCATAGTTGCTCCCTTTTCGTTTCACAGGCTAGAAAGTTGGCTTCTCTAAAATATCCAATTTTTCCGCAAGTTCCCTAGAGTCCCTTCCTGACCCTCCGCGCACATCGCTTTCTCCCGACACCCTTGACGCCAAGCGCCAAGCCGGGAATCCTCTCGGTGGTCCTGGCCTGTTTGAGTGTTGACGAGATATCAGATCCGACCCTAGAACAACAAGTGTGGATATTGTTCTTTGGCCTCGCGTCGAACGCCCGAAAAGGCTAACAACTCAGCACTGATTGAGTAGAGGGGCGCAACGCATTTTAGTAGGGATCCAGACACTTCTTGGTGGAAACAACTGAATTGTTCAAAAGGGCCATAGTTCTTGGGGTTCTCAATCAGACCCTGCCCTGGCTGGCAGCCCAAGCTCAGTGAAACCTACCTCACTGCGGTGTAACCCTGGTTTGTGCTAGAATTGAGTAGCTTTTGAGGCACAATGGATTCAATGGATGCATTGCCTAGTGGTTTGCTGACGAATCTCGTGTGCCGTTGCGATTGAGCGTTCTTGAGGTGTGTCATTGAGGGTGCTGTACACTGCGTGTGGCTGTTACCTTGCAATGGCCACTCTACTTGCCGTCCAACTCGCAACGCGAGTTCTACCGGTTGTTGTTCAGCTGTTCCGCGGCTGCGAGAGTGCTCGGGCCTGGGCTTCTGAAACGCCTCAATCAAAGCTCACGGATCCTCCGGGCTCTTTGTGCATCGAGGTTTAAGAATCGGTAACATCCTTGAGGCAACTTAAGCCCTAATAATTAACGCGCAAGTGCATCGGTTGCCAACTCTTGGAGGCATTCCACCAGTTTTGGCGCACAACCAAATGTACATGCACATGTTGTGGGTGGTTGAGGGTGTCACGTTGACTTCTTGCGTATCAGATGCCGACTGCAAGACATCGAGCAACAAGCCACCTGAAAAGCCACACTCGGTAACCCTCTGTTGTTCAGTCGGGTTCCAACCAGGAAAAGGGGGTAAGCACAACAAAATCCGGTAGCCGATCTCGGATGCCACGACAGTTTTTAGCTGTTCCCGAAACAAAGGCTGGAAATACAACTGCAGAGATACAAAACGAGAGGACCGGGAAGGCAATGGGGGAGTGGGAGCCACCAATTCACCAGTTTTTGGTCAGACAGGATGTTTGCAGCTGGGGGAGACCAGCGGAGGTAGGGTGCCACTGAACAAATGGGTTGAGTCATGCTAGGCATACGGCGTCAAGTTTATGAACTTTGTTTGCGCTTGAGTGATTGTGAATGTGCTTGCCTTTGGTGATTGGCTTTGTGATTGATTTCACTTAGTTTTCCAATGTTTTCCCAAAGCAACTTGAAATCACGAAAGCTAGCTTTAGCTAGCTGAAGTTTCTCCTTGCGTAAGCAAGGTAAGGGGCTCAAATGCCGAAAGATTGATTTTTTCAATTATTTGAGCCGAAAAGATTGAAAAACATCAATTATTTAGACCCCCCCCCCCCCTCCCCCCCCCCGGTCTCAGGCTCGATTCCTCCCTGGTCCATCCCCCCCCCCCGGGCAGTGGCTCAGTGTTCAGCAGTCTCGGTTTGCCCGTTTTGGACTTGGTGCTACGAACTTTTACATGTTCCACCGATTCAGCTTGTTCATTTGAGACCTCAGTCTTCTCAGTAAACCACCTCGCAAGAATCTTTGCACACGCAGCATGCAGAACCCAGAGGTGCTTTAAGGCAGCTTCTGATGCCTCTCGTTGTTTTCATTTTTCAAGGTTTGCCACGCCACCATGTGCGTTCGCGTGTCGAATCTTGCCGGGCCTCTCGTTGTACACAAGCTACCCATGAATCCACTCTGTCACCAACCCATCTCATGCAACAACTGCTAGCTTTCGTTCACCTGCTCCTCAAGTCCTTCCCTTCCCTTTTCCCTTGGTTTGGATTGTCAGTTTGGGTTTTGGAACCGCTGGCCCCTCAAACCAAAGAGGGAGGCGCATCGTCCCTTGCCAGGTCAGAGCAGGGAGTCGGGGCCTCAAACTCGCTGGGCTTGCAACCCAAGGGCCTCATGGCTTGCAGTGCAGCACATCAGGATCGGCCCGGTTGCACCTCTGAAGCAACGTTGGGCAAGTGTTAGCTTAGAGTCTTAGAGGCATCCTTGAGCTTGTGTATTCCAATGTGATGATACCCTCCCAGGACCAGCATGCAGAGTGACATGCGCATTTCCCCCAATTCGGAGCCTTTTTGGGGACTGGGGGACGGAAGGAAACCAGCAATTTAGGTGTCGCATGTCTTTGAGACACCCATGCGGCAATGCCCGCCCCTTCATCGCTGGCATGGATCTTGGGGATCTTGGTGCTGACACCAGCAACCAAGTGTGCCAAGCAACGCCGGTCGATCCACACGTTGGATTTTTGTTGGCTTCAGGAGACATCCGAACACCCAACTTCCTTGAAGGGTGTTCAGAACCGTTCTAGGGCGCCCTTCTAAAAAGGTTGCAGTAGGTTGCAAGGGTTGGGGGCTCTGGTTTCTCCTGGTTGTTCCAAGGCAATGTTGAGATTTGGTGGGCGTAGGCTTTCGTCACAGGAAACTCAATTGCCAAGCCTGCAGCTTCCAGGCCAACAACACAGGTTTGTTAATCGCCAGGCAACCACAAGTGGATAGATGTACATGATGTAATGTGTTTGGCCAGGCCCCCTGTTTTGCACAGAGGATTAGAAGTGTCGGCCCATTTCATGAATTCGCGACCTCCGGTGCGTTGTTTCCCCGGCGCGGTTCTTGGCCACGGAACTTTTCTGGGGCCTTTCTGGGGCTTGAGCCGCTCCACCCCCGGGGGGTTTGGGGGCCGCTGACCTGGACTGAAAGGGCTCAGGGGTCGCGAGTAATGTGGCTGGTAAGAAAACAAAGCACCATTGGCCTGGTGGACAACCTAGGTACATGGCCGGTCTTTGGTGTAACCGTAGGTAAAAATGGTTTCTTTGTAGCTTTACAAAAGTTGGGAGGATGACCCAAAAGAAACAACCACAATGCTCCTGGCTTGCTGCTCTTAAACATTTAGAACGGAAGGCCGTGTCTGGTGACTGGATTTCTGGGTGGTTCGATCCCAAGCGAACACCAAATTTTGGGGTGTGGGAGGGAAGTGGGCTTGTTTTGTTTGAAGTTCCCCAGGGCTGACCTTCGGAAGGAAGTTAGATCCGCCCTCCAGACTCGGGCGAGCGCTGAGGTACCACCACGGTACCACCCTGCCTTTCGGTTGGAGTTCAATGAGCAGAGCGGCCTCCCAGTCTGAGACTCCATAATAGCCGGCGCGGAGTGGCTGTGAGGACAGATGGCGAATTTCTGATTGGCAGAAAGAAGACGCAGGCCGATTGGGCCTATGAACTCTGGAAAAAGGATCCTGGTGGGCAGTGCTTTCGAGCATGTTCGAGCTCGCTTGAACGTCTTGTATGAGCCAAGGGTACGACAAGCGCTCCTCGCAGTCGAGAAGGCCTGGGGAACCCTCAGCTATCCTCCCACCTAATCATTGGCCAGCTTTGGCCTGGCAAGTTGGGCCAATGGCCAAAGTTTCTGAACTCTTTGGGGCTATAATGAAGACACTTGTCAACCAACCCTCTATGGCGATTGTTTGCGCAATGCAGCTTTTGTTGGAGAAAAACCCATGATGTCCAGCCAAAGTCGAATGTCAAAGTTGGATGCCCCCCAAACCTGCCTCGGGTTAGCATGGAACCTGCAGGGGTTCTGGAAGACAAGTTTCATCTAAGAGGGATGGGTTCCATGTTAGTTATGTTGGTAGGAGGGCAGTTGTCATTGGGCAGTCACTTTGAAGACCGCAGTCACTTTGAAGTCCATGGTGGAAGTCATGAAGTGATCAGGTGATTTGTGAGCGTGTCCTGTTTGATCTGCCAACTTTCACAGCCAAAATGCAGAATGCCAGGCTCTGGGTAGTACGGAGGCTGCCAGTCGTGCACGGAAGAGAAAATGCTCCTTTTTTCCCGGGCGCGCTGGTGCGACGTGCACCCCGGTGACATCCAAAGTGCATCCTTTAAGAAGGCCAAAGGCTTGAGGAGCTTCCTGTGGATCTTTCCATATGTCAATGTGTTAGCCGAAAAAGGCAGGACTAAAGGAATACATGCGGGCTTAAAACGATGCCGATTTTAATAGAGATTTGAGGGCACCCTTCGGAACAGGTGGCGACTTCATCTTGTTTAATGCTTCTGCACGCTGGATGGTTGCTTTCGGGAACCCGTTTCAACAAGTTTGACGTAACGCCTGCGCGAGCGCAGCTTGAGTGCAAAGGCTGGGCGAGTAAGAGGGTCATGCACACTTTTGCATATGCTTTGCCGTGTCACACGTGCTGCATGGGCACATGCCCACTCTGAAGGCTCCTTACACAGTGCGTTTGTGTTGGCCTTCCGGTAGGCTTCCGTTAGGACTCAACGGGGATCGGTGCTGGGATTTGAGCATTGGGTTCCTGAGCCCATGAAAGCGGATCGAGGAGTCTTTGGTATGGATGCCATGTCGTGACTCACCCTGCAGCTGGGGACAGCACTTGGGGGTTTGTTTGCTGGTTCATGTTCAACGGGTTGCAAAAAGATTCAAGCCGTTGGCCATGGAGGTCGGGAAGAGCGTTGTCTCCTGCCCTTTTGGCTTCACAGTTCGGTTGGAGGGCCACTGAGATTAGTTGACTCGGTGGGCTTTCGTCCAGGACCGATTTGATCGGGAATGGTCGCTGGTCAGGATACGTCTGGCTTCCAACATGTAGGAAGCGCTCGCATGACGTTTGCAATGTTAACATCACGGTATCTTCCACCGGTCGCACATTTTGGCGCCCTCCAACAACTTTTATGAAAGTTGTCACGCCCACATCAACTTGTGAATTTGCATTTCACGTTTTTTGTCATGGCTATGAAGCTTGCGGCCCTTGTTTTAGATGGGTCAAATTTGCACCTCTTGAAGGTGGGATGCCCGGAATGGCCCGAACGAAGGCCATTCAATCCAGCATGATTCATGCCTGAAGGGTGCTGACCCTTGATCAGCCCAACACCCCGCGCAAGCCAACAGGAGAACCTCCAAAATGGATTGTTCCCATTCAGTTTCTTTTTGAGCCAGCAAAAAAGAGGTACCCTCAAAAAAGGCACACTCAGCTCAGGTTATCGTCATTCTGGGCAAGCTTCCAGGGTTTACGATCCAGAACGCATGAAATCACAGGAACAGGCGAGTGTTGATTGCTTCTATCATACAGCTGCTCCAACGACCCCTGCAACACACCTGCCCAAACACCCTTCCAGCTTCCGGCTATTTGTGTCTTCCCCAGAAAAGTGTAGTTGGGTGCTGTGTTTGTGAGGTGTGGGTAGGTTTGGATTGGCACGTTTGCATTAGGTGCTGAACTTGGATGGTCCCCCCACAACTTGTCTGCTATTGGGTTGGATCTTTAGACACTAACTGTTGGGGAAATGAAGGGGGTTTCCACTAAACCCCCAAAAAGTTTTTTTTTTTTTTTGCAGGGGGGTCAACAGCAACCAAGACAAGGGTGATCCAAGTGAACACCCTTCCCCCGCTCGGACCCTTCCCGCCTCGCAGGATCAGAAATGGCGGCGGCGCAAGGCTACCCGGCCGGTGGCTGGGCACTCGGTGATGGTCCGAAGGGCCCTTGGCTGCTTCACATTAAAACTTGGGACCTAATTTGGCTGTGGGTCAAAATTAGGCCCCAGACAAACCACAGATTTGAGTCCCTGGTTCCGCCCAGGGTTCCCCATTTTGGCTTTTTGGGTACCCCATTTTTGACCCACACCCAGTTGGTCGCTAAGCGAGTTGGCCCGTCCTATTGTTCCCATGTTCGTACCCAGTGCCTATTGCCACCCTTGGCATCCAACGATGGCCCGAGTGACACGCCTGGACCAAGGGGCAGATGACCAAGAGCGCCTGCTGGATGAGGCCACAGCCGTAGCAGGGAGACTTAGACCACCGCGATTTGTTTTCTTGTTTTTTTCTCGCGGCAAAAAAGCCACATCTGGATGGCTCAAAAATCAGTGCCTCAGGGTTCTGTTGGCATTATGGCACATTATGTGTATGTGTGTGTATTTGTCCGGCTACCTATCTAATTTGTGTTCTTTCATCTTCTCGAATCTAGACAAGTCGAATCAAATCAAATCTATCTATATAATATATCAATCTACTCTATTCAAATCGAATCATTTTATCTCACCTCACCTCATCTCATCTATCTATCCATCGATCGATCTTATGTATTTGTATCTTATCTAACTTATCTATCTTATCTATCTATATGTCTGTCTGTATGTCTGTCTGTTTCTATATCTATCTATCTGTCTATCTATCTATCTATCTATCTATCTATCTATTTATCTATCTGTCTTCCAACCTAATACATATATATATATATATACATATGTGGTACGCCCCCCCCCCCCTTCCCCTGCTAGGTGTTGCTTGATTTCAGTCATTTGTTCAGGTAAGTTTGCATTTGTTGGCCAAACTTGGGCACCAAGGAAGGGGTGTGTGTGTGTGCGTGCCACAATTCCACAATTAAGAATTTTGGACCCAAGATTGCTGGGAGACGTTCAATGTGACAATCTGGAATTCAAGATTCAATAGTTCAAAGCAATCTTTTCTGGAATTCTGGAATATTGAACCTTGCATCCCATATTAGAAAAAGAACTGGAACTTAAGATTCAAGATTCAAGATGTCAACATAATCTTTTTCTGGAAATCTTGAATCTTGAATCTTGAATCTCATAGTTGCTTGTTCTTTTCTTTTTTAAAGAAAGTCTGGGAATCTTGACTTTTGAATCCTATTTTTTGAAAATTCCAGGTTTGTCCCAATACTCTCGGTGTTCAATAAGATTCTCGGAAAAGCTTTCCGTGAAACATTTCAATCTTGAATCTTCAATCCAGTGGTAAAATACGTTCGAAGTTTTAGAACAACTTGATCATTTTAGGGTTTGACCAGGATGGATGATTCTCAGGAGAGTTGTTGTTTGCGCATTCCTCAATATAGAATCCTCAATCCAGTGGTAAAGCACTTTCAAGTGTGAGAAGAACTTGAATGTTGTTTGGGTTTGGTCAGGACTGACAATTCTCAGGAAAGTGTTCTGTGTAATCTTCAATCTTGTTTTGTTCCATCCAGTTGTAAAATACTTTCAAGTGCTTAGCGATCCAGTGGAAACACTTTCAGGTTATTAGTTAGACAGGAAGTGCTTTTGGTGAGCGGTTTGCTTCATGTTAGCTATGAAGCATGTTGACCCTTTTCCAGGAGGTAAACAAAGGACGCGGAAAAGTCTACCGAAGTTTAACCAGCGCATGTTAGCAGCTGAGCTACCACTAAAAGAGTGGAATAGTGAAAAACGAAGGTGACCTTGAAAGACAAAGGCTTGTCATGTGTGCATGTGGCGGCTTCTGCTTTGTGCGAGCAGGTCTCGAGACGAAGCCTCAAGCAAAGCAAAAGTGGTTTTGTGAACATTGGCTCCTCCGAATCACGATAGATGATAAGCAGCAGGGAAGAGTTTAGAGATATTCCAATTTCGCGCAGAGCTGGGATCTTTGAGCGAGTTTACCTGTGCAAGGTTCGCTAAATAAGAAGCACACTCGTCAAACACATTATTTTAAAGCTGAGGCAGACATGCCCTAGTTGCCTGAGGTGAAGGAACAGGCCTTCTACATGAAGAAGGCCATCGACTCGGACAACGTCCGGGAAGCCTTGAAGAACGCCTCGAACATGATTTGCGAGTGCCTTGCTGTCATTCGGAGATCGCATGTCGCCCTAGTTTCGACTGGCCCTTCACGCAGCTACGAGAGAGGTTTGAAGAGCTGAAACCTGATTCCCCCCTTCCCCGACTCGCTGACAATTTGCTGGAGGGCATGGCTTGGCAAGTGACCAGTTACTGCAATCCCTAAATGAGGTGACCCTTTAGCGGGTTCTCACAAATAACCGGGTTCCAGCTTTATTAATCGGTCGAACCCCATGTCATAGACCCTATTCGGGTCCACCGAAAACTACACTTCAGCTCAGGCTCCGTACCTCCTTGCTCTTGCCCAAGAACTACTTCGAGCTCTACATGCAGGCCCGCAGTCGCGGCTGTCCCTTCAAGAGTAGTCTTCAGTCTTCCAGACGCGGCAAAGCTACATGGGCCCTTATATGCCCCTTTCTTAGGGGATCCAACACGTTGCGGTTTCATGGTCATGGAAAAGGATCTCCCTGTACAGTTGCAACGGCTGGCAGGGATATGCAATAACCCTGATAGCGGCTGCCCGTGGTAAGCGGAAAGGATGGCCCATGTTGTTAAAAGTCCTGCACGTATAGCTACACCAAAATTGCCGGCTGCCGAGCTGCATGACACAGTTCCCCTAGGAGAAGGCGCTTTCTGCCAGCGGTTACCTTGGTAAACATGGCGAAGGCACACAGTAACCTTTTTCTAGTAGCTGCTGATTCACTAGTGGTCTGATACTAAAATGTTTAACTTGAGTTAGCAAGAAATCCCGGTCAACCGAAAGGCAACCCGAGTGGAGGGTATCCCAGCGGTACACTACATGCACCACCCCCTTTTTCCAGGCTGCGCTGGTGCTCCCAGATGTGTGTCTTCAGTGCGGGCTGTGGGAATGAGGGTTTCCTGCTCCTGTAAGAGAACCTCCCCTCATGGAGAATGATTCATTTAGAAGGCCTTCCATTGATACTGTGGATGGACAACATCGCGCACCAGTTTATATGTGGTTTACCCCAGGATTTTAGGGGTCCATGCCAACTGGTGCAGGATTGTGCCCCCCTCCGCAGTCACAGTGACATTAAAGTGCGTCTTCAGGTGTTCAGCGAGATGCAGCACCTGTCCGGCTTCTTCGCAGATAAGAACCGCCACAAGAAGAAGATGATCGATTTATACGAGTCCGTGCTTTTGCAAGCAGAAGGGGACGGGGACATTGGGCTTTCTACAGGACACGGTGGGCGTTTGGCCCAACCATAGCGTGAACCGGGTGTTCACCTTGTTGAGGGTAGAGCACTTTTTTGAGTTTACAAGGCGGAGACCTTTGTCCAGCTTCAGAGAGGCCAAGCCATCCACTTGGCACTCCTTGGGTTCGTGTCCACGGACGTGCCGTGCAGCGGGTGCCTCCAGGGGCGAAATGAGATTGAGAAATGCAAGATGCAGCAGCCAGGGAGTATAAATCAGCAAGGGGGTACCGGCCCCGGACTCCTCATTTATTTTTTGGGGGTGTAGAAAGGGGTGGGAGGTTCCTTTGATTTGCATCGTTCCTCCGGATCAGCCCTCCAAATCAGTCCGGCCATGTTGCGTGCTCAGCTCAGGTGCAGCACGCGGGCAACATTTTGCCCAGACTCTACCTGCTGGCGACGGTTGCAGCGGCATACATCAAGTCTCTGGAGGCTCCCGCGAAGGACAGGGGCCAGGTTCCCTTTTGAAGGCCAATCATTAGCCCCTACCCACCAGCATGAATCCAAGAACTCTTCCAGGAACCCCTTGTAAGAAGGTTCTAAGAAGGGTGGTGTTTAACAAGGACGACCAGATGTTTTGGAGGACAAACTGACGCAACGTTCTGGAACACTGCAGGAGATCCTGAAAGATGTTAATGAGCTCTGCAAAGGGGCCGCTCAGCTGAGGTCTGGGCCAGGTGAGCACTGAATTCAGCGGAAAGGAAGTCACGGGGGTCAATAGGGAGGGGCTGGATTTTCGCGCACGTCCATGGGAGTTTGAGCAGAAGGCAGGTGTTACCCGAGGTTCAGCACCCTTTGCGCGGGCTGTTCCTCCGCTACTACCTCTCCCAGATGCTCAAGGAGGGCTTTGGCAGACGCCTTGGTTCAGCGGTGCGTTTTCTATCGCTTGGCGGGCTGGGCCGTGGCAAGCCCATTTCAGAAACCGGAATGATGACGAAAGGGGACGCAGCATGCTTGTTTTATCACCAATCCGGTCTCGACCCTATGATATTCCTTTCATAGGGAAGCTTGGGTAGGTGAGTCGTTATAATCAGCCCGGCTCATTCAGATGCACGTTCTGATACGCTGAAAAAAGTGGCTGTGGGCGAGTTCTCCGATAAGCCCTGGCCTGGTTGGATCGGTGAACATGTATGCAATCAAGACCATTTCATGACCCTTTGACCCTTGCTCGCGCTCATAACTTGAGGCGTACAAAAACAGCTGCCGGGCTGCCCGACTTCCATTTATTGAAGCACCGCTTTGGTAAAACAGTCTGCCAGGCTCCCCGCTGATCCGCAAGCTGAAACCCGAGAGACGAAACCTGGACGTGGCCCAACCGTAGCTCGAGTTCCGGTTCCCAGCCAAAATAGAGTTCCTTAGGCTATAGGCGTTTAACGCGAGTTGGATGCATGGGACATATCCCGCAACAAGCTGAACTTCGGATATCAACGAAGCACAAAGGAGTAGAAGTCAGAAGTCCTGCTTGTGTCTGGGTTCGCAGCCTTTTGGTATGTGCGAAGGTTTTCATCAAGAGGTTCGGATTTGCCGATTTGCAGAAAAAATGCCCCAAAGCTTTATGCGAGTCTCACTAAAAAATCCACCTTTTTTGTGCTTGTGCCGTGCCAATTCGAGGTCCCTGTAATGGAGCGGAGCTATCATGTTTCTGCACGAAGTTTAGCGAGCTGATCTGGGGGCGTGCACCAAGCTTATCCATAATGAATGTCTCTTGCTAGGGGATTAGGGGACTCCAAAATGGTGTTTTTCTGTTGATGTTCCTTTCAGATCACACCCTCAACAAACGCCTGGGCTTCTTGTGTCTCTTGTCTCGTCTGAGCTGCAAGGGTATTTTTGGTGTATTTCTCATCTGCATGGGAGAAGGCCGGGTCAAGATAGGGATCCACATGAAAGGATCAGTGCTTTGCGGAAAGGCCTTGTGTTGTGGCAAGCCGTGGGGGCCCTTCAAAAGTTCAAGGCACCGCGACTGTCCTGCATCCCAGCTTGTCGGCCTTTATTTGCCCAACAGCTGAAAGCTTTGGGGTCTCAGCCCAGGTAGGCTCCGGGGTGGTCCGAGGCGGCCCTGAGGTAAGGTTCCACGAGGGTTCCACCAGGGTTCTCCACGAGGGTTCCACGAGCGTTTCACGAGGGTTCCACGATTCCACAAGGTTCTGCGAGGGCTGCTGGGTGGTGCGAGCACCAAAAGAGCACCGCCTGCTGTTGGGGATATCACCTGAGCTTATTTGTTCGGTCTGATCGGTTCCAACCACTGAACATAAGCAGCAAACACACATAGACATTTGTTTGCTGCTGCACTTGCCAACTAGGTAGTGGTGAAGAAACCGGAGGCACCCACAGAAAATAGAAGAACCCTCTCCACTTTCTGCTTAAGCTTGGCGTTGAGCGCTTGTTTCCAAAGCAAATCTACATTTTGACATTCTTTGCCTATGGTTTAGCGGAGTTGGCATATGATGTGGGCCATGGTCCCGTTTTGTTGGCAGGGCAGGTTGCGGGTGAAAGCACCTGGGTGCCTGGTGGAGGAATTACCACGGCACCGGCCAAAGCCCATGCCAGGACAAATTGCCAGACACGGGCTCTGGCTTTGAGGGGGAGGGCGGCGACATCAACGACGCCTTCGAGTTCATTTTTACAAACTTCAATGAGAGCAACCGCCTTTGGGCCGGGAGCTTAGAACGACGGGTGCCATTTGCAGCACATTTGCACTGGCAACATTCGTGCACATGTGCTTGGCGGTTGTTGTCTGTCAAGCCCATTCAGACCTTGACAGCCAGGGAGGATCTGTAGCCTGGGGAATCCGAATCATGCAGGCAGTAGCCGGGTTCTTTCATGCACATCACGGCATGCACTGATGCCCAGTGCTCGAACTGGCACGGGCGAAGGTCAAAGGAATGCTGAAATGTGGGTTTTGTTTTTCAAGAAGGTATGTTTGTCCGGTTGATTAAAAGGGAAACCAAGCGGAAACACTGCGATTTGAACACTGCGAGTGTTGGCGTCCGCCTATGTGGAACGCTCTAATGCCACAGCAACTTTCGCCTCATATTTGGGTTTGATCGTGTCCGACTGCAAGGGCCCCATGTGCACATGCGCCGGGGTCCATTACCTTCAGAAGACTAACCGATTGCCAAGAATCCTAGCATTGAGGCTGAGAGGTGTGGTACCTGACGTGGTATTTCAAGTTTAACGAAGGCGAGGCAAACACAATGTTGACCCCATATTAATCAACCCCTGTTTATTAATAGGGGGGTGGGGAATCAGACCATTTTTGGATTGGAGCACCCCCCCCTAATAGACAGGAGTTGATTAATATGGCTTGCTGAGGTCCGCATTCAGCACCAGGGCCCTGCCAGGCGGGACAAAGACGCAGCCGCTGCTTCTTCCCGGAGCTGTTTTGGGGCCCTAATTGTCACTGCCACAGGTTCCTGAGCAGCTCTCACATTGAAACCGGCCTGTTATTGTCACTTTTTACGCTTCTTGTTTAGCGACGTGCTTGCGATTGATGATCCTTAAGGGTTTGTTCACCTTGGCCTCTTTGGAAAGCCTCGTGAGCATGATCCTTCAAAAGGAAGCTTTCCGCATGGGTGACCGTGACTGCGAAGCTCTCTCGATCGTTTGCCCTGTTTGCGTTGGCCTTTTTTTCCGCAGAAAAACAAGATGTGTCCGCTTTTGGTATGATGTTTGGTCCTCAAGCCTACCCACTGTTTTTATATATCTTGTAGATTCCTGGTACTATTTCTGCCCGTGTTGGTTCATGCATGTTGTCTGCAACTGAGTGAGACGACTAGAGATGATGGTGACATTGATCGCACGCTTCTTTGTCAGTTGGAAGAACGGGGGGGAGAGAACAGCCTGATAGATACATGGGAGTTGGACCCAAGAGTTGTCAAAAGCACGTTCGGCCATGCGAGATGTCCACCATCGGTGCAATGACCATGCCTGCCTCTTTGGGAATCTTCAACTGGCTCCTTACAATCCTTATCAAATAGCTTGGTGACCACTCCTGGCAAACCTCCAAGTGGCAAGGTTGTTCAATGACATTGACCAGCCATAATATGGCTCTGGAAAGGCAGGCCCTTCGGCTACAGTTAAGAAAACTTGTCGCGCAAGGATTATCCAACCCCCTGTTTGGCTGGGTCCAATGCTGCGTTAAAGTGCTGGGATTTCCACTCTTGGGATGCGACTTGTTTGAAGATATGCTTTGTAGTGCGTGTGTGAAAGGGAAGGGAAATGGAAACCACCAGCCATTACCACCCGGGCAGACTTCCATTCTGTTGCCAGGGAGAAGGACCGCAGGGAGCGCGAGAGGCACGATTTACGTGTCCTGGTGGGCGCGAACCTGGTCCGCCTCAGCCAGTTAGACGGCCCGCGCCCTAGAAGCCGGGAAATGAGTTGCGGCCGATGGAGCCATTAATATAGGTAAACATATTTTCTTGGATATTGTATCAGTGTGCACCCCAAGATGTCCGCACACATGCATGCACACACACACACACACACACACACACACACACACACACACACACACACACACACACACACACACACACACACACACACACACACACATACCTAGGGCTTCAAGAACCTGTAAAAATGTCGTACCCTGACTAAAACATCGTGTTTTTGCTCGATTTTCTAAACACATCGTGCTTTCAGGAAAACATCGTGTTTTTGATAAAACCACTTTAAAATGGGCTTCTGAGGCCAAACACTCATTTGGAGCAAAGGGTGAAAGGCAAGGGTCGGGAGTGGAATTCGCACAGGCATCACCCATTAAGATTTCAACTGAGGGCAACGCTCTATGCTGAGTATGCTTCAAATTCTAAGGACCACATTGATGAGCCTGACAGCCAGGGTGCGCAGCTGGCTTCAGTTTTTAAGTACCTTCACAGCAACAGGCACCTGAAGACTGGCGCCAGGTCTTACCGAACCAGTTTGAAGGGGGTGCTGGAATCCCAAAGCTCCTTTTAATGCAAAACAAGACCAGGTGACACCTTTTCAGATTGTTTTTATGATTTTTGAGTTTTTTTTGGAAAACGGGGCGGGATCCTGGCGGCTAACCGCAAAAACCCGTAGAAAACCCGTAGAAGCCCGTAGAAAACCCGTAGAAACCCGTCGAAAACCCGCAGCCCCAACCGAAAACATCGTGTTTTTGGAAAACATCCTGTTTTCCAACCCGTAGCTAAACCGTGGAAAACCCGTAGTAAAGCGTGGCAAACCGTGGAAATTCTATGGGTTTTTTCGGGTTCAACCACGAATGCGCTAATTCGAGATCGTTGCTGGAAAACAACGAAGTCGTGAGCAAAAGCACTGTCTTTGCTTGAGCTTGCGCGCTGTTCGAAGCCAGCACGTGGCATTGCTGCTTGACAAGTGCCATAAAACCGTGGTACTTTTGACTAATTATTTGGGTCCCCGGCCTCCTTTTTTCAGATTGGAGTTGCGAAAGACGAGTGGCGAATGCGAAGCTGATTTCGTTACGAGCGCCAAAGGGGAGGGCAACGGGAGATTCTGAGGTTGAGATGATGCTTTTGAGATCTTTTGAGAACGGATGACGAGTTGAAGGAATGTATGGGAAAATGCTTGAAATCGAAAATGCCGTGTTTCCCGAAAACATCGTGTTTTCCCAAAAAACATCGGGTTTTTTTTTGTAAGTATGACATTTTCATCGGTTTTTGAGGCTCCTGGTACACATACATTCACATATGCCCATTCGCGTGCGTGTGTGGGCACATATGTGGCTTTGTTCAATTGGCACGCAGAGCATAATGACACCACGTTTGCTCCGGCATGAACGTGTCCGCTTGTACGTGTGTGCGTGCGGGCGCGCGTGCGGGTGCACGTACGGGCGTGCGGGCGTGCAAGCAGGCGTGCGTACAGGCATGCGTACGGGCGCACGGGCGTACGTACATCCGTCCGCCCGCAAAATAAGGCCTTGATTTTTAAAAATATGGCCTTATTTTGTTGAAATAAGGCCTTGTTTTTCTGGCCACGCGCGTGCGCACATCCGTCCGCCCACCCGCGCGCGTTTCCGTACACACGCACGCGTCCGTACGCAAGTGCTCGCCCGCGCGGTCACTCGTACAGGTTTTGATCCATTTTATGCGCATGCGTATTAAATCTAGCCAAGGTCTTCGGCAAATCGACTGGATGGATGGCCACCGTTCCCAAGTGAATTTGGATTTGGTGGTTGGTATTCTTCTGACTTGCTCAGAGCCGCGTTGCTTGCAACTCCCTCCTCAGTCTCCATTGCAACGCGGTCTGAGGTCAGTCGGGCTGACAGATGCGTAGCTTTGATACCACCTTTGTGTTGGAAAAGGGCACGGGAAGTCAGCGCAGTCCGCTCGTGCCTAAACACGTTCGAGATCAGCAAGATGGCTGGCAAAGCAGCAGGTTCACCTTTGGGGCAAATGGGCGAGGTCGCCAATCTGTGCGTGTGTGTTTTCCTCACGGCATTTCACCACTCCCGTGGGCAACGAGCCTAAGGCGTTTGCCACATCTTGGCTGATCCATTCAACTTGGCGTCTGAGGCATGACAATGGAGTTCTACGCCGAGACGGCACTGCCAAAGATTTTGGACCACATCGTGTCGGTGAAGGACACGATGTCTGCGGCTCAAAGCTCCAGGAGAGAACGTTCCGAAGAAACGGCCCCATTCAGACATGAGATGTGTTTGGGGGGAAGCCTTTGGCAAATTCATGCCTGCCTAGCAAGCAGCTTGCAATCATAGTCACTAGGAAAAAGGATGAACAATGGGGGCTCTGTATTTTCATCAGTGTATGCCTTTGCTGGTGTGCATCGTGACCTGCGGAGGTTTCCTCCTGCTCGCTAGATAGGGGTTGTCACCCCACCAGTGCCTGAACCCGTGTCAGGTTGGCCCTGGCACCTATCAGTTCATGAGTGTATGATACTTGGCAGGGTGAAGGTTCAGCTAGAATATCATTCCTATTTGCCCCAGCTCCAGGCGGTTGATGCTACGGTGACTTCTTCCAAAGGTTTGAAGCCAGTTCGGGCATGTTCGTGCTCTGGCCGTGCGCAAAGTCCTCTTTTGCTTTGTTTGCAGTGGGAATCCTGCGCCTTCTGTGCCTTCTTTCTCAATGCTGAGGTCATGGGGATCTTGTTTTGATCCCTTTCAGCCTCCCAGCGTCCTCTGATTCTGCCTTCGCGCCAGAGATCCTGCTCAGATCGCGCTTGGAATTTTACATCCTATGGAGCATGCACTGCCACGGGCAGCCGTAAACTCAATGAAGCGGTCGCAACGCTAGAGTGCATTTTACAGAGGTGAGGCCCGATTTCTGGATGCAAAAGCCCAGGGCGTTGGCACAGGTCCCAGCAGTACCTCCTGGAGAGCATGATCCAAGTCTTCCCAGATGAGTTCCACATCCGCACCCTCGAGCAGATGCTTTCGGCATATGCCCGGGCGTTGCCGCCAGCGCCTCAGTGACTGCTCAGACCTTGGTGTTATCCGATTGGTTTGCTTGTTTGCTTGCTTGCTTTTTGGTGGCTTTGCCTGCCTGCTTGCTTGTTCAGTTGCTTGCTTGCTCGAGCATGAGCTTCGCAAACACGGTTTGCGGGATTGCCGCTTTTGGTCAACAAGCAGGTTTGGGGACCCCCCCCCTTTATACCTCCCTTCTGCGGACTTTCCAACGCATACGCGACACAAGTTGTCATTTGGGGTCCCAGCACATTTAGAGTCCCAGAGCCCGGCTGCTGACTGGTGTGGAACTTGCAACGGGGACTGGCTTGCCACAAGCACAGGGCAACCTTTGCTCCTGAACGAAATGGTTGATGTGTCACTTGGCACATTTGCTATACAAGCTTAGGTGGTTGGCGCGCGTGTAAGTACATGTTGGTTTGCACGTCCATTTCAACCTGCAAGCGTACACATGCGGCACATGCGGTTGCCGCACGCCCCGAGCAGGTTTGACCCTGCATTTGCTGTCATATGCAACGACTGCAAATGGTTTCTCATTTCCCCACCATGTTTTTTGCTAAATGAGGACGTCGCCAATCCAGCCTCCAGACTGGGCAGGTTGCGACCTTTTTCCTTGGCACCCGGGGGTACGTCTTTTCAGTGGCCTGCCTGGGCAGCTTCCCGTGTCGCAGGAGCGTGGACATGAAGCCTATCATGGTCACGCTCATGAACCGCCTCGCCAACTTCTTGGCCGAGGCGCCGGAAGGGCCATGGATGGACTCTTGAAAGAGCTGAGCCTACGAGTTTTTTTGAGGCACCAAATGGGAAGTTCTGTTGGGGGCCGCCTAAACGACAAGGTTCGAACCACCCGGTAAGGTGGTGGAACTCCGAGGGAGGACTTGTTGTCCCTTTGCTTTTGGCAGATCACGGCAAGCATACCATCAAGAAGCTACAAAGAAATGGGCATGGGACAAAATTGCCTGAAGTCTTGTGGCAAGCTTGCCTCACAGATTTACCTCCTACGTAGCCTTCAGGAGACTCCTTTGGGGCTTCCTCGCTTTTTTTCTTTTTCACAAAGTGGAACTTGTCCTTTGCCTGAGGCTACGTTGGGTGGCACACAGGAAGTAAACCAGGGGCTCTCGACTGGGCACCGATTGAGTTGGTAAGCGGCTTTGTTGGATTCTTCTACGCTGCGATTGGGGCCGGTCAAGTTGCTTGGGGCCAGCTCAGTAGGTCAGGCAACTTGACAGCAACCTGAAGCTGGCAACGCGTATCGCGGGGCTCAAGCAATCAAGGGCAGTGTTCTCAGGTTCCTATGTTCCCGCTAGGCACAAGGCTCAGATTCCTGGCAAAGGGTCCATTGCTGCTGGGCCACAGCTGGCCCCAGCATTTGACACTCAAAGATACCCACTGCCCAAGCGGCGGGCTGGCACGGAGAAAGGAAAGTTCTGCGGCAGGCAGACAAGGAGAAGGTGCAGTCCGCAGGAGCACAGGGAGGCGGATTTGAACTAAGAGAACATTGTTTCAGAAGTAAACCGGAGAAGGCTACTGCCTTAACCTTGAAGGTCCCGAGTCATTTCTGTCCAAAGCTGAATCGACCTTTTGACCTTTTGTCTTTGCCCTTTGGGACTAAACTGGTAGTCAAGGTTCCGAAAGGTGATCACCACATAATTTCTGGGTCCTTTGGGCAAGTGAGATGTGTCTAGGAAAAGCTTCGATGGATCATTCTTGAGGGGCTGTCCAGCCTTGGGGCCCGATTTCAGGCTTATATGGTTCGGACCCGCAACCTAGTTGGGGTGCGTACTTTGGGGCACTTCTGGAAATGCTAAAGAGCCTCTTAAATGGGCATTCCGCAACGGACCCATGTCCCTGGCAGGGATACCGGCTCTGGCAAGGAGCCATTTGTGGAGGTAGGCTGAAGTTTCGGACGGAGAACCTCGACCATTGCTCGTGAGCGCCCCTCTTACCCCCCGCTTCTTCACTCGGGTGTTCTACTTGGGAGCCTTAGAGGCTCCTGGTGGCGGCAGGGTTCATGGTGATTCAGCAGTAGCTTCTTGGCTTCTTGGCACCTCGGTGCGCACTGCTCACCCTTTTGGCTGCTTGGGCTAGTGGTGCGGAACGGGGCGCTTCAGCTTCAGCACCATGGCCTGCCTCAATTTAGAAGCAATGCAATTGCGGGAGGGCCGGCATCCCTTGAGGCCAATGCCCTTAAGGGTTGTGCAACCCAGAACCGCAGAAGGGTCTCCATGTTTTCGTTCAGTTTTTTGTGGTTGGGGTGGGGAGAGCCACACAAAATTCAAAGCCAAAGTTTGCGACCGCACCTAGGGGTCTCCAACTTTTTGTGACTTGTGGATGCGGATGCGATTGGCTTTGCTTGGGCATCCTGTCGGTGCAGGAGACATTTTCACGCTCTTCCGGTCGCACCTCCAAGGGATCTTGGAGCGCGTGCCGGGCCCGAGGGGAGATGATGTGAATGCAGGGGGGCGGTGGGCATCATTGTCAGCATTCCTATGGTTGATGTAACTGATAGGCAACTTGGACTCATGTGCCCTTCGTGGATGACAGCTATTATGTTGCTGGGGGTGACGCTTTTGCTGCTTTTGGGACAAGTTTGGTTCCATACATGTAAGAAACCGGAGCCACTTTTCAGGGGAGCCATGCATCCTTCCAATATGGCAGCCCAGAGACGCAGGGTCGGCATATGTCCCTTTCCGGGCAAAATTCTACCTTTTGAGGGTTCCCCACCAAACGGACACTTCGCTGCAGGGTTTGGCCCACGCGGCAATGTTCAAACCACAAGGGGACGTTTGGTTTGAAAGACATGGAAGCCAACCAGTTCGAGGTTCAACTTTGCGTAAAACCAATATTCCAACCAAGCCACTATATAACAGTGTACCGCCATCAGTAAACAAACTGCTCTAGCCTTGTCCAGCATTTCCAAAAAGTCTATCCAGCTGGCAGCTCCCCCTCTTAATTGCCAAAGCATTGACACGGATCCTCTGGGATGTGCACAGAAGACAGCGAGGAGCCCATTTGAACTCTGGTCACCAATCAGCTGAGGTGATTTCTCCCCACAAACTCGAAGCACTTATCTGGAGACGGCTGCTTCAAAGTGGCTGCATGGTGGAAAGGGACGAAGCAGTAAGGCTGAGCTCTGGAGCAAATTTGGCATTAGCTTCAGCAGGAAACCCGAGTGCCTCTGGATGAGGGAGGGAACCCTGCATGAGGGAATGCGCCCACATTTTTTTGATGGTGGGCATCCGTGCTAGTCAGTTCGAGGTCCCCCCCCCCTCTCCCAAAAAGGATCCTTGTCCAATTATTGTAGAATTGCAACCCCCAGTTGCCAAGCGTCCAGCTGTCACCAGTCCGGTACGCCACCTTTTTTGAACCCCTCGACAAACGATGTCACACGGCGCCCCTTCTTTTGCAACCCCTGCTCCCCCAAAACCGCCCCTTGCTCCCCACAGCAGACCCTAATAAGGCCCTCAGGCCCGCGGAGGACACCAACCTAAACCAACCCCAGACCCTGGGCGTCTTGGACCCTACGTGCAAAGCCTCACACCTTCCGAGCAAAGGCGCTGCAGCCGCAGGGCACTGGCACCGTAGGTGTGCCGGACATGGCGCCTCCCCTGGAGGCGGGGTACGGGGATTCCCCCGAAATACGCACGGGGTTTTCCCGTTCACCTACCAGGGAAATGACCTTTGAGAGTGGTGGCTTCAGTGTTAGTGGTTGCATGTTCAGATCTTGGTCATGACTGCACAAGATTCCGGCAGCCATTCGAGCTCTTGGTTTTCCAAAGGTCCTTTTCAGTCATCACAAAATGTCACCTGTTTTTTGCAAATCACAAGTCAGTAGAATTAAACTGGGGAGAGCAGACACCTCCAAAATAGGATGCCCAGTGAACCTACGATTAACTTAAAGAGCACTGGCCTCGGCCCGCTTTATAGGATGCGGCCTCTCCAAATGCTAGCTAAGGTTTACTCACGGATTCCTCTCCGCCTTTAGCCAGATGAAATCAAAGGTGCCTTGTGTCACTCATCTTTTCCAAACAGCACGGGCCCTGAATGACCTTCGGTTGCAATCCTTCCCTTTTTGTCCTATCGTTTCTTTCATGCGACTTGCATCGGATGCATGCAGACGATGACTCAAGTGCCAGGTGTTGGCAGCGTTCATGCAATTCACCGTGTCCCTCTACCCGGACCAGGCAGGGATGGATTGATGACAACCTCCTCAAAAGGCCACTTTCAGGGAGTGAGTCAACCCTTTGGAAAATCAAGTTCAAAACATACTTGCCCAAGAGAAAGTGAATATTTGGAGGAAGGGGAAGGCTCCTGGCAGGAGAAGCCTTTCTTTGGGCCGCTTTGCCGAACTTCTGAAATGTTGACTCGGTAAAAGGCATGCGGACTACCTTGAGGGATGCTGCGCAAGCGTGGCATTGCATGCATATTCAGTGCCAAGTTTCTGAAGCACCAAGAAACAATGTCAGAACGAGTGGAAATATTTGGTTCTGGGTGTGGTTAATTCCAGCGCTGAGGCTGCTGTCATGTTAACCGTTGTGCAGGGCCCCTCAGAGTCTGCAAAGGTCATGTAAGAGGCTCATAGCGGGAGCGAGACCCAGTGTAGCATCAGCGCGTGCGTTTGCTGAGGGCTTTGCCCGCAGCGATTGGAAGTGTATCGCGACCTGCGGGCTCAATTGTTGACGGCTTGGAAGTAAACGGAAGTAGTCCAACCAGGTGGCTCAAAGATTGCAAGCTGAGCTTGTGGCTGATGTAGTGCATGCTCAGCCTGTGACAGCGTCAATCGATTTGGGCGAGTTTGCAGCATGCGGCATGGATCGAAGCCGCATCGTCAACTTGTGAGAGTGTAAGCAATTCGGCCAGCAGCGGCGTGCCCGCCTGCTCGTACGCCCGTGCATCCGCACGCCGAGCCAACCTGTTCCCTGCAATCAGATCCCCCTGCGCTCCAGATCTCGTCCCGCCTCAAGAGGGCGGCTTTTGGGAGGCTCACGTTTTGGCACCTCAAACAACTTTTCTGAAAGCTGACACGCCCGCATCAGCTTGTCAGTTTGCATTTCGCGTTTGAGTCTTGGCTATGAAGCTTTATAGCAGTGGGTTGATCGGTCGAACATGTAATTGCCCATGGCCCCCACACCTCTTGAAGGGGGGGATGCCTGGACAGGAATGGCCTGAACGAAGGCAGGCGTTCGGTCAGCACCCTTGATCAGCCCAACACGCCGTGTCTCAAAAGAACCTCCAAAATGGCTTGTTCCTTAAAAGGCACACTCAGCTCAGGTTGCCGTCATTCTGGGCAACACTCCAAGGCTTACTATTGTTTTCACGCGTGAATTTCTCGAGGTGCACTACGTGGACATCATCCTGGGCTCGGCGGCTGAGCTGATGCAGAAGTTCCGGGCGCTGCCAGGCGCGAAGGGCTGGGGGTCGAAGTTGTCGAAGGGGTTGCGGGTTTTTCAGAGTGGCACCCCTTTTGGTTGGTATTCAAAGGGAGGCCTTACAAAACAGCACGTGGAGTCTGAAAATCACCCATTTGTGCCCTTTTGTGCCCACAGTCATAAAAGTGGAACCTTTTAGAGGGTTAGAGGAACATGAAACCCACCAAAAAGCAGAGGGTCGGGCCCAGACAAACTACCCCCTTTTCCCAATAAATCGTGGAAGTGGACAAGGGGACTTTTCAAGAGGATGGCACTCTTCCAATTCCCACCTGCACAGCGCCCAAACCCCCTGGCCATTTTAGTATGTGATTTCACTATACCTAGAACTTCCTGCGGCGGAAATTTCTGCCGCAACGCATTGCGGCGGAAATTCCCGCCGCATTCCAGAAAATCAGCCGCAAACAAAAAGAAAAGCCGCAACCAAAACAAAAACGCCGCAACACCGTTTGCTTTCCGGGAATTTCCGCCGCATTCCCGCCGATTTCCGCCGCATTCCCGCCGATTTCCGCCGCAAATCGGGGGGTAGAAAAAACTGAAAACAAGTTCTGCCGCAATTCTAAAAAAAACGCCGCAAATCAGGAAGAAATGCCGCAAATCCAAAAAGGCGCCTTTTCTGATTTGCGGCAGAAATTTCTGCCGCAACGAATCTCTAGGTATTTATATACCTGGTGTTAACAGGTGATAGTGCGGCCTATGTCAACCTTTGCGAACACTTAATAGAAGATAGTAAAATGTTCGGCCAAAAATACGTCCAAAATCCACCTGGCATGCGGCGGTCACCCGACTGGCACCCAAACAAGTTGCTATGCTTCAGCCTGCCGTTGTTTTGCCATTTCGGGGTTTCGAGGGCTGTATGAAAAAGTGATCAAGAGGCCACAGGCCATTTTGGGGGTCCCACCCAAATTTGGAAACGCATCTTTCAGGACGCCAAATGTGGAAGCTAAAACATGGAGCTATTTTGAGAAACACCCCTTCGACGCGCCGGCGCCCGATTTTGGTTTTGGAAGACCCGGTCTCCGCGGGCGCCGGCGCAGTTGTGCAGGCTGCGGGGGTGCTTTGTCAGACAAGGCGGCGGATCAGATCGGCGAGCTGCTGCCGGGGCCTCGGGAAGTCCCAAGAGTTTGCGTTTAAATGGCTTGGCCAGCCAACACCCATCACCTGCTCATGTTTCACATTGATGTTGTGACAAGGGTCCAGGGCAATCTTTGCAAAGAGCACCATTGCCATTGATGGAACCGTCTTAGCTGTTCTTACCTGACATTTAATTCATTCCACTTGTGACTCTCACTTGCCCAAAGCCGATCTTGTAGCTTGTTGGTTTCCCAGGTTGGGCTATGCTTACAGGTGCCACAAAGCCCTAAACCACAAACCCTTTGGCACCGTCTCTCATTTTCACTCTAAAATGTTGAACATAGAAAAGACGTTAAATCCTAGGTTTAGGGTCGAACATTCACCAAGAACCAGTCAACCTCCCACCAATCAACATGGAACCTGACAATGGTTCCGGTCCCTTTAAAAGGAGAATGGTCCAAACCAGGACCAATTCCCCGAACGTCGGACTGGTTCCATGTGCCAATTGGCTGGCAGGGGTTGACCTCGTCTCGGCCGGGCCCAGTTGGCTCGTTTGCCTAGGGCTGGTCCCATGAAGACCTTGGGCCTCGGAGTTCTGAAGCGGCCCGGCGTGATTGGGCGAGTGGACGTGGGAAATATGGGTCTGAGTCTTAGGGTCTCCTCCAGAACTGGTTCGTTTTTGTGGGTAGATCAGATATGAAGCAGAACCTCGGATGTGGGCCAAGTTTAAAGGGAAGCCACAAGGAACACTACGAGTTTATGGTGGAATGTTTTAGTTGCGAATCGCGAACTCTCTGGTGGACATCATTCCTGTTGTGGCTTCTGTCCGCCAACCACATCTCTTGGGAAGCCATCTGAATCATATCATATGGGATTGTGTGTGTGTGTGTGTATGTCGTTTAGGGTGCTAAGGGAACCACAAGGAACACAGCCAGTGTGGGGGAGACACCTAAGCCTGGCTTGCACCCCGTTGAAGCTTGCCCCCAGTTTAGGGCAGCGGAAGGGTCCAAAGAATGTGGGTGTGATTTGCCATCGGGGTGCAAAGCCTGGGCTTCCCGTTTCCTTGTTCAAAAGCGAGCAACCCTGACAACGCGTGCTTGATATACGCGGGGACGCCTTGAGATGTTGGGTTGTCAGTAGTGGCACCACGACTGCTTTGGGCTCGTAATGACAAGCGTCTACACCTTATGCCTCTTTATCAGTACGGCGCTTTGACGTGTGGGTGTTTATTTTTGGTGTGAATGAGGGAACGCGCAAAGAGGCCAAACAAACAAGTCTCCAACAAAAAAGCGAGTCCCATGTCAGCTGGCGAGGCTTTGAAAGGCTACTTTCCTTCTTTGTATTGAGCCCAAATCCCCCTGCCCCTGGATGTCTTCAAGCGGCCAACTGCGAACCATTGTACTTATCCTGAGGCCCCCTCCAAACCTGTTTCAGATTTTAGGGCAGCCTGAATATGAGCCAGAAGCAGGAAAACATGTTTTTTTTTCTGTGTGACTGAGATGTGGGCCAAGCAAATCTCGGCTCCCAAAGCTTTCCGCAGCCCAGGATGGAGCATTTTGCCGCCAGGGCCCTAGCCCGCCTTTCGTGGGAAAAGGCGGAGCTGTGGCTCGGGGAGCCACAAGTTCAGGTCCCTGTGAAGGATACATGTCGGTTCTAAAGGGTCTCTGCACACACCAGCTGATTTTTTTGGCAGGGACCCTGTTCTGGGCCTCCTGGCCTGATCGCTGCTGGCTCCCGGCCTCACAGATTGAAGGAACGACGCAATCCATGTGGTGGCTGAGAAGCAGCGGGGTGAAGTGGAGCAATGTGTTTAGATCAGCTCATTTGATGGATTCATAGATCATACAGTTGCACCCTCTGTCACGAAATGGCGGCCCACTTCTATTCGGGAAGGTGTGTTTGGCTCTTTTTCATCATGGACCAGGATGATCCGGAAAGGATTGATGGCCTCGTTGTGTTTTGCACTGCTTAGCTGTTCGGATTGCCACCTGTGCTTTTTTTGTCATCCTCGGTAAGTTTACACCTTTGATTAGTTGACACGGACTGGTTGCCCAAAGCCGACACCCCAAATCGAAACAGAGATATCGCGAAGTGCTTCCCGGCATACCCCCCAGTTATGTCTTTGCCTTTTGCCACTTTTGCCACATGCACTGAATTGGAGCCAAGGTTGGGAGTTCAGAGCTTCTTGTGACCATGTAGGGCAGATCGCAACTTGCTACCAATTCCAGGAACCTCAGCCAAGTCAACCAAAATGCCACATTGTCTTTGTGACTGGCAAGGGCTCACAACAGGCTGCCCAATTTGTCGGGGGTTGGTCTTTTAAGTGGGGCCCTGGGCGAATGGGCCCATGGGCCATGAGGGGGGAGGGGCGTTGGAGGGCAAATGTATACCCTTATCATGGCTGGTCTTTGATGTGATGGTAGCCCCTTGGAATCCCTTAGACCTGTTGGAAACAATTGGCTTCTCCATTAAACCTACGCAAGGTGAAACCTTTTGCTCCGGGGGGGGGGGTTGAAGGCAGCCTACACATATATGTATATATATATATATCCCCCTATATGCCCATTGTCTCGGTTTCAACAGAACCTGTGGTCGTCGCCCGTGCGGCCCTTCCCCCCATTGAAACCCGAGCTCCGCGTCTCAGGCGCTGGTCAGCTTTCTCAACTTCGAAGCACGGAAGCAGGTGTCGCTGTCCATGGTCACCGCCATCGTGGAGGCCAATCCGCGGGGTGATGCCTTGGCCTGAGGGTGGCTCCTGGCCTGAGGGTTGGTACCCTTTTTTTGGGTCGTGTTGTTCGGGGCGGGGCGGGGGGAAAAACAGGAAGACACCACCCCCTTCCCCGCGGCCCGATGTTAGGGGTCCAAAGCAAAGTGTTTCACACATATCCATGTGTGCCTTTGGAGCAGTTTTTCTTCGAGGCTCAGGCCTCTCAGTCCGGTGCCGTTTGCCCTCAGGTTCATCGAAAAGAAGGTTTATTTGTTTGTTTGGCGTGCTTCTGTTCCCACACTTGTTGGAGCAGGCATTGTTTTGGTTCCATAAAGTTCTCTGTCAGGTCCTAGTTTCCTTCGTTGCCTGTTGACAGCAACACCCTTCAGAGCGGTTTTTTTGGGAGTCTCCTCAGCTTGGCTCAAGCCCTGCTCGAGCAAAAACAGCGAAAACAGCGAAACCGCGTGAGCTCGACTTCGCCATGGAGAGGCAGCACGTTGTCTTCATGAACGTGCCGTCCACGGGGCACATGAACCCCACCCTGGCGCTGGTGCGGGAGCTCAGGGACCAGGAGGTGCCGGTCACCTACTTCGTGGCGGAGCAGGTGCGCGAGGTCGTGGAGGCCAACGGCGCCCAGTGGCGGGCCATGCAGGATCCAAAGGCCCTCACCGAGGAGCAGCTCGCCCGGTACGTGCCGCCGGCGCAGCCGGAGGGCAAGGAGTTCCCCCTGCTCCCTGATGGTTCATGCTGCGTCAACCCTCCCAAGCATCCTGGAGGCCTTGCAAGCGCTCCGGCCACCGCCCAGCGTCATCGTCTACGATCCGTTTTTGCCCCTCGCCTATGTGGCGGCGCGGTTTCTGCAGATCCCCTCAGTGGCCACGGTGACCATCACGGGCCCGGGGGTGCTGGAGATGCCTTTGGTGGTGCGGCAGAACTGGGAGGCGAACCCGGCAGTGCAGCTGGCCAGCAAAGAGATCATGGCGAAGTACGGGATCGATGTCTTTGAGCATGCGGCCATGATGGAGTTCTACTCCCAGGACCTGAACATCGTCACTACCGTGGACTCCTTGTTCTGCCCCCCGAAGCTCGAGATGCAGCTGCAACGCTTCGGGCACCTGCCCTTCCGCTGTGTGGGTCCCATGGTGAACCAGAAGGGCCAGCGCATCAGCAACGTGGAGATCAAGGAGCAGCCGGCGCTACCCTGGGACCAGATCGACACGTCCAAGCCCCTGGTGTTCTTGTCACTGGGCACCGTGGCCAACAGCCACTTCTGGACCAACAAGTTCGGCCACCAGGCGACCTTCAACGGGCTGCAGGACCTCACCGGCAAGGAGTGCATCCAGATGATCTTCCGCACCGCCTTCGAGGCCTTCGCAGATGAGGATGTCTTCGTGATCATGGCGCTGGGCCCAAAGGAGGACGCGCTGGAGGGCATGGAGAAGAAAGCGCCGCGGAACTTCCTGCTGCAGAAGTCGGTGCCGCAGCTGGAGGTTTTGGCCAAGTGCCAGGCCTTTGTAACTCACGGGGGTGCCAACTCCATGCACGAGGCCCTCGGCTTTGGTGTGCCCATGGCTGTGGTGCCCATCCTCGGGGATCAGCCCGCCAACGCGGAGGCGGTGGCCAAAGCTGGGTGCGGCGTCTCCTTCAGGGAGCCTCTGAAGACTCTCAGCCCCCATTCCCTGCGTGAGGCGGTGCGGCAGTTGATCGCCCTAGACAGCACCTTCCGCGCGAGCTGTGCCAAGCTCCGGGAGCAGATTGCGCAGGCGGGGGGGGCGACTGTGGCGGCGGAGCTCGTGTTGGCGGCGGGGCGCGCGCCGAGCTCCAAGCTGGGCGGCGCCTGAGCTGAGCTGGCAGGGTGATTCGACAGAGCTTCCGGGAAGGGTCTAGGTTCGCTTCCTGGAGCGAAGCGTTGCAAAGCGGCCTTGCAGTTGGGCGAGCCGCTTTTTTGTTGTTATTGCACTTGTACAGCGTGCGATGTCTTTCACAGAGGCCGACAGGTTCCCTGGACCGTGCTGCCGAACATACGGCACGCATTCAGATGTGAGCGCGGGCCAGTAAGCAGCCACCGGGTCGCCTCTGGATTGGACAACAAACATATCGAATTCGCCGGGCCTTCAGCTGCAGAGCTGAGCCTCAGCACTGGCAACCGAATCATTTCTCGCTGGTGACGCCTGTAAAGAACGAAAGACACGCGCCGACCTCAGCGAATGGTGCCGAAAAAGGTTCTGCTTCTTGCCTCTACGACGGCAACACACGAAGCACGGCTATCAAGACTCTGCGTGCCCCATGGGAGTGGGGAAAACAGCCCCTGGAAGGTGCAAGTGAAGCTGAAGACTTGTGGGATCCTCAAACGGACCTTCACAGGAGGATTTTCTTTCACCTTTTAGCCGTCATTCCACGGAACTTGACTGGAGGGTCCCCATGTTCTTCTTGAAGGGACCTTCTTGTGGATTCCATGGCGAATGATCAAGCCCAACTAGCCGCCCAGCTTTCTTGCTCGGGCCACTGGGGTGTGGGATGTCGTGATTTGACCTAGGTGAAAATTTATGCTGCTTCGGTGTATTTTTTCACAGGCTGGCATGACAGCACCTTGAATCCCTTGAGACAGGTGACACTCTGGCTTGCGGGGGGTGCAGCTATACAGCAATCTTGGGCTGCATCCAGTTGGCCTGTTGCTGGGCCAGCAGTTCAACGTTGGTAGGAAAAAGGCGGGTGCACGTCTTTAAATTTCGCGTTCACATGTTTGGCTCCTCATGATCGATCAATGATGCTTACACGGGTAATACATACGGCACCCATCCATGCCCTTTATTTGGTGTGAGTGAAGGGAATGACTAAACCGAAATAGGGAATAGCCATCTACTTTCACTCAACTGTATGTGTCCGGGCTATGTAAGGGCACAGGCCTTTTGCCCTAAGCACGTACTGTAGCCAAATGGCGGCTGGGCTTGCTACTGGCCCACGACTGGCCTCCTTGTTGGACTGGGCACTTCAGATTCCTTAGTCAGACGCTAATCAACTGCGTGACTGTCGGATGCTAGGATTTTTGGGGGAAGGAGGTCCTTTCCTTCCCCTATGACTTGAGCTTTCACAGGGTCTCACATGCAAGTCACTTTCTGTGAATCCCTCGTGCCAGGACAACCGCTCGCTGAGCAGTGTGGAGGACGTGAAGGCCCTGTTCACATTCATTTCGCCGCTACTGAAGGATGAGGACGCGGAGGGAGTTGCCACACAAACAGGCATGCTTTGTTTTGTTGAGATAGCCCCCTTTTGCAGGTGGCCTTACAGGCGACGCGGCGACCCAGCAGAAACCAACCATTTTCGGCGGTTCCCCATCCCACCAAGCGAAATCATTGTGGCCTTGCGGGCCCTGGGTGACTTGGAAGCGTTCTCGAATCGAGCCAGTCTCCGCCTAGCATCCCCAAAGCTCCGGTGGTTGGCTGTGCAGGGAATGCCCTGGCCAAGCCCTTTGCACCAAGAGAAGCAAGAAGCCCATTTGGCTGTAAGTTTGGGTGGCTGGGGTGGGCTCCCCAATACAAAACTCCATGGGGGGAGGCGCTGCTGTGGCACAGGGTCACACCCTAAACCGTAAACCCTAAACCCCAAGCTGTGAAGAGGTAAACTCTCAGATGTCTAAATACTGCCTTGTGCATACTTGGTCCAAACCAATGGTACCATTTTGGGGTAGGTGCACCACCCATTTTAGAACCTATTTTGGCGGGGATTGGGATGTTCACTGGGGGTACGATTTGGATTTTGACCCATGGCCATTTCAGGTCAGTCAGAGTGCATGGCTTGAAGAAGTGCTACTTTAAGCGCGGCTCGCGCGCGCTCCTCACTTGACAGGAGGACACCCCCTTGGAGGAGGGCAAGGATAAGGTGCGCTTTGCGGAGGACCAACAAAAGGCGGGGGAAGGGCCAGCGGATGTCATCCGGGGTTCCGACATTTGCTCCCTTGGGCGTTAAACATCGCCCTGTGAGCCATGCTCAAGTGAGAGGGTGACTGGGGGTGGGGGGAAATTAATGGAAAAATCACACATTAGTATGATGTTTTTATTTTATTGTTTTCATTAATGCGGGCTCACGTCGCTTCGTTGTTGGTTCACGTGCCGGGTCTTGCAGGTTTGCAAGCTCGTGCACCAAGCTGCCGGCTTAGATGGGTGCCTGGCATTCCATGGCTGAACACGAACCACGGAAACTCAGCCATGTCTGAAGGAACCTACTCCAGGGTAGGAGTAGGTGTAACATTTTTTTGGTGAGCAGAGGGGACTTTCAACCTGAATGGGAATACCAAGCCATCTACTTTCACCCAAGTGTACCTTGCGGGGTTCCATGCGAAACTGCGTAGGGTATGCCTTGTGTGGCAGAAGGTTCCATGCCGCAAAAGATGTGAAACCACACGTAGCAGAAGCAAGTCCTTTGCAACAAACAACCATGAGGTTGTTCTGCATGTGCCCCGGCTTCTGAACAAGCGCTGCCTTTGAAAATGGAAGCTGCGTTTACAGAGTTTATTGGGTTTGAGGTCGGCATCCGGCCTTAAGATCCTTCACCCGGCGAAGCCCCATAAGCATACGCTTGGATCAAGCAAGATAGCACATGATCCTTAGCTTGTCCTAGGGGAAACAAAAAGGGAATCAAGGTTGTGTGCGCTTTCCCAGGCCCGCTATGTGGCACCCAGCTTGCCTTCAAGCTTCAATTCTTCATCTCAATGCTGCAACTTCTCTTGCCAAGTTGGGCTCGAAAGCCGATTTCCAGTCTATTTAGGATGCATCCTAAGTTGGTTCGCATGCGATCGGGGCTTAGGAACCCGGCGAAGCTTGGTCGTTTTTGCGTTTTTTTTTTTGGGGGGGGGCAGTCGCCCAGACGAGACTGGGATGCGGTGGACCGGGGGCCTAGGTCCGGCATGAAGATACGGACGTGGAGTACCAAATGCTGACTGAGATGCGAGGCGGGGAGCCACTTTTTTTGAGGCCTGCTATGGTCCCAGCCCTGCAGGGATTCCTGTACCAAACATTTGGTATCTTCAATGGTGGGGGGTTTCACAGCCAGACTGAGCACTTGGGCGCTGAGCATCCAGACTCAAAAGCCAAGTTTGGGTTCCCTCAGAGGGGAGGGGGATAAAAATCTGGGAGCAGGGAGACCCTGTGAACTGGGTTTTGTGTTGCCTGGGAAAGCCAGGCCACAGAGAATTCCAGGGGAAGGGTAGCAAATGTGTTGGCAGAGGTGTCTTCCTTACCGGCTGGTTCCCAACCCGCGGCTTTTGTGAAAGAGTTGGCTTCGAGGTGCTTGGAGTTCGGAGCCTTGAGGATATGCCAGCCAAATGGTTCCTGATTTGACAGGCTTCGTTTGGCCAAGAGATGGACGCTTGCAAGGCTGTTTTGGAAACTGGGAATTCGATGAACAAGGATCACCCCAAATATCAAAGTCAAGAAGTAGACCTGAGCATCTGAAGAGGCCCTCCTCCGCCCCATTCCTCTCAGGCTTCTTCGGACAAGGCGGGCCCCAGAGGCCGAGGGCCCAGACCTAGAGCTCTGTGGACAAACGCATTCCTGGGCTTAGGTCGTCGAGTGCAGTTGCTGCTTGATTTGCTGAAAGTGAAAAGGGAATGTGGACTATTTTCCCCCAAGTAGTTCTTGACAACGAGACTGCCAGTGCGTTGTGGAACCGCAATCTGGAGCAAGCGCAGCGGCCGGCTGTGCTGAAATCAGAAAGCCGAGCTCAACCATGAACAAGATCCTTCTTGGCGTTTGCACAAGTATATGCAGCACAGGTGTTGTTTGAGCGAAATCCTGCCCAGTCCGCACCCAACCACTCCCCTACCGGTCGTTTTGTCCATGGCAGCAAGGGTCGTTTCCCGCGCACATTCTGCGGAACGGGTTTGAAAGTGAGTGGTTTTCCCTGCAGTAGTCCTGGTAAACAACCTCAAAAGGGTGCCCAGTCTCCACGTGAAAGCCCCATCAAGATTAGCGGGGGATTGGCTTTGTAATGGTCTCTCAGCGTTTTCTTGTGGGAACATTGTCGGACATGCATATTAGCAGCCAGCAAAATCATGGTTGTGGAGATATTAAATTGGGTTGTCACTTTTAATATCAGGGAACCGCACTGTAAAGTGATAAAGTAATCAAGGGACTGAGCTTGAAGAGGTTTTATGAAGGAGGGGGGGCAACATCCTGCCTATAGATGGCCTAGCTACCCACATTTTGTGCCTAAAATTAGCGGGTTCCCCTCAAGTTGGCACTGTGGGTGGAACACAATCCTGCACCGCTTGGTAGGTGGTTTGTCACTAGCAGTTATAGCTTTTTTCGTATTTCAAGCACACGATCCGAAATGTCGGAGCCCCATTTCCCCAAAGCATCAATTCCCAAAACATTCGGAAAATAATCAACCATTCAAACTCACTAAAATGCTCGAACATTTATCGGACTTGTATTAGCACAAAGCCACCAAATATTCCAGAATTTGTTTGCAGACATTTGTCCATCCACAGCATCACAAGGGTGATGTTCCATGATCAAAACTTTGCGGCTGAGGCTGGTCTTCACTCTGCAGCCCGTTTTCTTTGCGGCCCTTGGCCTCGTGCCCAAGATCCAAGCTCGTGAGAAACGGCGGGAGCAGGAGACCGGTTTTCCGTTGGGCCGTTTGTGGCTTTTGCGGACGAACGTGGAGCGCCTAAAAACACCTAAAGGTGGGGGGGGGGGGGAGAATTTCCTCTTTGGGCCGTTCTTGGGGCATTATGAGAGGTCTGGACAAGTGGGTGCAGATGCTTTTTGGGCATGGGAACCTTTGAGATGCCCCACAAAGCAAAGCAAACCAGGAAGCGGGAGGTTTCCATGCACCAGCCACTTGGAATCGTGCCCTTTTTTCCCCATGGCAACTGGGGTTTTGGGCTGGGGTTTGCGGGAAACCAAAAGAGAGCCCATTGCATATCGCAACTGTCATGGTGTGACCTGTTGGGCCCCTCCAAAGTTCGAGTCTCCTTTTGATCCCCTTTGGCCAGAAGAAAGCTTCCATGTTAAGACTTGTCACCCAAAAGTTTGAAGGAAAGATAAATGGAAAATCAGTTAGTATTCTTCGGCTACATCTGGCCTAAGCATTGGCGGCTTGGAGGGGCTCAACGGGCAGGAGGGTGACGAGGCGGTGCCGCCGCCAGCTATCAGCATGAAGAAGGCAGGGGCCCATTGCTTTGCAAGCCTCTCAGTGAGACTGTGGCAAAAGAAAGGCCTGCTAGCTGCTGGTGGGTTGTAAACCCCCGTTTCACTGCAACTGCACTTGATGTGTATCACTCCCCCACTGGGCGCAGCCCAACGGGTTGAGCAGGATTCCACAAGATGAATAGAACGCACTCCCGGCTTCACATAGAAACAGTCCATTATTCAGCCAAATGTTCATCCGGACCCGGAATTTCAGAGTCGCAAGCATCTGGTCAGGTGTTTCAGTTCTTGCACCGAACAAACTCAGCGTGCCGGCCTCAGAGGGACAAAGCCATGCTTATGAGCATGGGTCAAAATCCAAATCGTACCCCCAGTGAACATCCCAATCCCCACTGAAATAGGGTCTAAAATGGGTGGTGCGCTGCACCTACCCCAAAATGGAATCCCATTGGTTTTGACCCACGGCCATATCTCATCCAGACAGGTCTTGCGGACTTGGACCCGCGGAGAAGCCCAAACATGACACCACACACCCATGCACGCGCGAAGACAGGAACTGGCAAAGCTTGACAGGCGTCAATGTTATTCCAGTTCTTCCTTGCAAGGGTGCAGCAGAGAAGGGTCATTCTAAACCGGGCGCATCCAATCTGCCCAGCCTGCGTTTGCTTTCCTTCCTTGTCACTTTTGGGGATAAGGACAGTGGAGAAGGGCAGCTTAAGCATTTTGCGCCACCTGAGATTGTCAGCTTTTGCCAACAGATCTGTTGTTGTTTGCATATGCTTGTTACCAAAGCTTTGGTGGCGTTTGTGGGTTCACTCCATGGGTGACGCAAGGATGCTAGCCGCCTCGTCAGCTTGTTGGGCGCACTTTCCGGCACGAAGTTATAGGAAGGACCGAAAGACCCATGCCGTTGGAGTGATTTGCTCCGACTTCAAACTCTTGGGGAATTCAATGGGAGGCCCAGGAGCATAGATTGATCCGAGATTGATCATCCGCAGCCCTTACTTGTCGGACCACAACAGCTTGCTATTTTCCCGATGTCGAAGAATTTCTGTAGGGATTGTTTTGGATGCAAGGGATGTGTTGGAGAAATTGCTTACTATCTATTCATTCTGGGTTTGTCTCAACAGTTATCGTGGAACTTCAACGTAAGAGGCTCTCCGCTGCAATTTGACCGAGATCAATGGCCCTGCCAAAACATATCCACCCACGATTTGCCAAACTGTTGAATGTGGAGATGTGCAGCCAGTAGTCACGGGCTCTCAGAAAAGGGCTTTGGATTTCGGCAACCCATGTGGATCGGCGAGGTTGATGCAATCCTCGCCGGATATCGCCCTTCAACTGTGGCTCACGGCCTCCGTCCGGCGCTCGGCAAGGGAATCCGATTTTGGCGGGCCGGCGGCCGGATATATCCAAAACATGTGTATATATATATATATATATGTATACAATATTGATATGCATATATGTGCATATTATGTATATTTATTGTATAGTTATTATCAGGTTATTATGGTATTTGCGGCGTGCCTGTTTTTGTTTGCAACGGGGCCTTTGCTTTTTTTTTCACTTCGCTTGCACGCGCGTTGCTGTTGGGCACATGTGTTAAGCATGCCCGAGCCTGCGCCACAGCTTGATCGCGCCGGACCGTTGGTGCTGGGACGACAGGCCATTCGAGTTTCGGTTCAGGGATCCTTTTGGCAACCAGAAATGGATGGATCTCTCAACCTTTCCCCCAAGTCTTGGTATCCTAAGAAACGGGTTGTGTCAAATAACTACAAAGCCAGTGCAATGGATACAGGCCGTTCGACAGCATGATGAGGTCTTTGAGCCTTTGGGTACAAATACTGTTGCCCCTTTGACTGCCACAAAAGGCATCCGTATGCCAGGTCTTAAAGCCTCCACCAAGTATGTCATGGCCCACTTCTTTAGCGTTGGGCGCCGCGAGTTGTTTTTGAAGCTATGCTTGAGACAGCGACAAGATTCAGCAAAGCAACGGCCAAATAGCTCAGAACTGAATTTGCAAAGTTAATGACCATGGATATTTCCCGCAAACCCTGCTGAGTCCTAATGCGTCAGAATCAACCTTCAGACTCCAACCACCAAGAATGTTTTGGAAAACTGTCCAACGCTGTTGCCCTGGCCAGTTTTCTGTGCCCGACTAGGGAAGCTATCGGATGTGCCAGTGGCTGGCCCAGGTTACAGCAGATCAAGTGGAGAGGGCCACAGGCGAGGGCAACTTCGAGCCCATCGCCTACGAGTTCCTGACCCAGGCAGGGCTCAACGGGTCCTTGGGAGGTCTCCTTCGCTTGAGCGGCTGTGATGCAGACGGAAGGATGAATTGCCATGACCGGGCTGCCTTGGAAGCGGTTATAGTTTCAGGTTAATCTAATTTCTGGGTGGTGCCTCTTCTTGAGTCATTGAGCCAAGGTTCGCAACCGTTGTGCTAGCCTTGCTCTTGACTTGCGGCTTGCTGAGTGGCCACAACCACAACTGCAGCCGGAATCACAACGGCAATAATTACCACAATGACAACCACAAGGATAGCGACAACAAAGAAAACGACAAGACACGAAACCAGCCTGAGGCTTCTCTCTAGCCCTAGGGTCGGGATGCCCAAATCATTGTGAAACATGTCATAATCGCCATGCTGCTGAGATGTGCTGGTCCCAGCGTAACTGGAGCGGCTGGTTGGCAAGGTTGCCACCTGGTTGGACCCTAGGCCCTAGATGGGTGAACTTCCTGCAGGAAAACGCTTCTCTGGACACTTGTTGCGCTTGTTTTCTTTTGGGCAAAGTCTGACCTCCCCGGCCCCCTTCCGAACGGATTGCGGGGGCGCAACCGACCGGCGGGCAGCTTGGCCCGAGCAGGCGCTAGTCCTCTTCGAGGAGGAGATCTCGGACAGCTCCAAGCAGTACAAAGGAATTCACTCCATCGCAGGATGCCGAGACATCCCCACCCCCTTAAAAATGGAATTGGGGGAGGGGGGTGACCTCTGGAGATCTCCATTTGTGGTTCCATTTTCCCTTTGGGGAAGACTAGATAAATGGAATTGGGGACCCCCCACTCCCCTCCTCCTGAAGGTAGGGGGGATGCCGAGACCAAAGGCTCTGAGATCGAAGCCCTAGAAATGTCCACCGGATCCTCGCGAGTTTCCTCGTTTTGAGTGGCCCTGTTGTTGTTCCCTGGAAATTCCGTCTTTTTATCCCTTTGGATGGCTTTGGCAAGCAACAAGGGAGATGTGCTGCCGGGTCTCAGCCTCGGCGTTTACGTTTGTTGTGGCCTGTTCATGCAGCTTGACAGATTCAGTGTGCGCAGGCGTTCCTAGTGTTATTTGCACATGGGTCACCTGCAACCCTCCGCGTGCAAAGTGTTTGGCACCGGCATGAGCGGCACACAGCTGCCTCGGATTCAGCAGGTTCAATGAGGGAATTTCAATCGCTTCATTTGTGCCTGTGGCCTTCAGCTTGAGGCTTTCAGGCCCTGCATAGTCCCGTGTGGGTGTGGCTTTTTGCGGATGTCCTTTGGCTGAAGTAAAGCCAAAAGGGGAAACCGGACAAGAACGGAAACGCTCGGAACTGGAACGGTCGGCTCGCTGAGGTGGGCACGCTTTGCAAGGTCGCAGCCTTGGACCCTGAGAACTTTGACAACGTGTCGCAGAAGATTACGAGGCCAGGGTGAACCTTGGGTTGGGGCCATTTGGGACTTGCATGGAGCAATTAAGGCCAGGAAATCTGCCTTAACTCGAAACAAATCATATACAAATGGAGTGGGTCCGAGTTCAAGCAGTTGTCCATCCTTCCGCAAGTCCTTGTTGCATAGGCAGCATCAGGAAGTGGGCTTTGAGACACCAACAATACCAACCTCGACCCGCTTGAGTCTTTTGTAGGAAGAATAATTCTTGTCTAAGGATACGGACGTTCCATCAGGACTGCAGTTGGCTTTTTCACTGATTTCTCATCGTGGCTGGTGCAGCCTGTTGGGACGGCACAAATGTGGGAATGTCTCAAAATAGCAAGAATTGTGGCGTTTCTTCAGGGTTCCCTTTAAACCACCCTCCAAACAGGGTACCCTCATAAGGCACACCTCGATGTTTCCTGGCCAAAAAGCATGAATCTGGGGAGTCCCCTGGAAGCGGTCCACACTGAAGAACCCCAACATCAGCTACCATCCCTCCTGCTTCGGTTTGGGATCACAGCGCGGGAATTCCCACTCACGCTCAGACTGGCACAGCGTTTAGCTAGGGGTATTGTTTTAGGTATGATCCCTTGGTGAAACGAGTAGATCAGTAGGTGGCCTTAGGAAGCTTGCCAAAGTTGGCATGTCTGCCAAAAATGATTGTCTGGTGGTTGGAAGGCAACGGTTCCGGAGCTGGGGGGGCGGTAACCAAATTTGGAATTAAAGAGCTGGCCTTTCGGAGCCACCAGGGGTTCGGAAATGACATGGCGCATGAGCAAAGGTGACGTGGAACTGGATGATTTGTTCAAATGCGCAAGCATGTGGAGCCCCAAAACTGGATGATCGACCCTGAGCCGATGAAGTTCGATCATGGTCAACATCATATTTTAAGGAGTCCGGCCGGAGAGCCGAGCCAGAAATAGGTGCATGATATCCGCCCAGTTGATGATTTGCATGATTGTTTGAAACCCATTTCAATGCCAGGTTTTGATTCTGACCAAGGCAGGTCGCGCGAATCTGTGTGTGTGTGTGTGTTTTTCGTTTGGTCCCCGAGGCATGCGGCCAAGTTGCTGAAGAAGCCTGGCGCCCGGCCGGCTGAGAACCGCGACCCCAGTGCCATGTGACGGGGAGGCTTTGGGGAAGGAGCGGAGACGAAGGGAAGGGAAGGACACCACCCGCAAACCGCAACGCCCAGGGGGGCTGAATGGCATATACAGACACTATATAGCCAGAAAGACCGGGGTAATTATATACCCGTTTTCCTCTGGGGAAGTGGATTGGTAGTGGAAACCATCTTAGAGCCGCCGTCTTGCAGCACCAGGCCAGCCAAAAACCCGGCCCCCCACATCCCCGCAGCACAAGGCCTATGCAGTGCCGTGCCGTTTCAGCGTGCTCCCAGCTCTTCTGGTGCGACGCGCGGAGAGAACCCAAGCGCGTCAGGGAATGCCTCGAGAGGCCGGGACCCGGGGAAGATGGCGGGTTGCTGTTTGAAAACATGGGACACAAGGAGAGTGCGAGCAATGTTGAAGGGCAGGATTTGGATCCTGGGGTCACAAGAGGCTATGAAGGCGCTGTGTTGCTGAGTGCTTGCTGTAGTTCTCACGTTTCCGTTTTCGGAGGGATCAAACATCGCGCTTCATGCTGTTGACAGGGATACCTCAAATGGCGAAATCTGTTGGGATCCGTAGCGTTTGTTTTGTCAACAAGTATTGCGCTGGATGTCGTCGCGACTTTCAGTCCAGCCCGTGGGATGCCAGGAGGGCTCGTTGAGACCATGGCCAGTGCATGGTGAGCTCACGAACATGACACAACAAGCAGGCCAAGCTGAAAGTAGAACCCTTACGGAGATAGGAGCTGACGGTATCATTGAAGAGTTGAATTGGAGAGAACATTCAGTAACTGCCCTTCTTTCTCAATAGCTATGCGGGGGGACATCCCATTGCCCCAATCCGGGGACACATGCTACTCCGCGTGACTCATACAGGCTTGAGCCCCAAAGCCGCAAAGACATTTTTGAGGCCCAGCTTGCTTCACATTGGGACACGTGGAGGGCTGTCACCATCGAGGGCCTTGCTCGATCGTTGCTGCGTTTTGGGAAAGGGCACTCCGTTTCTCCTCATGGATCGCGTCTCCGAGTGCAGGTGTGTGAAGACCTGCGAGGCGGTGGTGCAGAGCGACTCAGGGCAGGTGGGCTTGTGGGTGGAGATGCTCGACAGATACATCTACTACTTCGAGGTGGACTGCGATGAGGCGCTTGCAAGACTGGGTTCCCAAGAGTTCTTTGCCGGTTAAGGACTGCGAATTCTAGTGGCAGGTGTCGGGCTGTTCATTTGGACCCCCAAAATTTTGCCCTTGGGTTGACTGCGAATTGTTGGGGCATGTGGCTTTGCAACGGAGAGTATGGATTAGGATTGGCCAGCACTGCATTTTCAAGACTGAACTGGGACGCGAAGCGCTCAACTGTTTGACGGCTGGAAGAACATCACTTGCTGAACCACCCAAGTGGAAACTTACAAGTAAACCCACTAAGCTTACTGGACAATGCCCACCTGGCTTTCCCTAGTAATTAAATGAATCTTCTTTTTTAGTCAGGGTCTGACATCATTTGCCATCATTCTAAAAACAAGGGGGTATTGGGCCCGTGTCGGGTGTATAGTCATACCTTGAATTTTTAATGAGTGGAATGTTTCAGTGGGTGAACCTGTGGCCAGTATGGGCAGCATGAAGATTTCAAAAGGTCCCCAACAAGTACCGAAGCGAGTTGCCAAGTTTGTTGATTTGCTGCAGGTTGTGCTTGTGCCGTTTTTTTTTTTTTTTTTCTGATGCAGGATTCGCGCACAGTTTCCGATGCAGCTCATATTTTGAAGGAAGAGTAATGGTGAAGATCAGGTTGAGGGGCTCCGAATCCAGGGCAGTGGAATGCATCGTCATAACAGGTCCGAGATACTCAAAGGAAGTGAGTGATCTGCGCCATGCACCCGGTTTTTGGCAGGCTCGCTTGCGCCTATAAGAACCCCAACGCCTCGGACAGCAACACCAATACATTGAGGGATGTAGCACTCAAGGTTACAGCTTCGAGCCCTGCAGATCGTGCTTGGCAGAGGTTCAAGTATCAATCTCACTTGCCCAAGGCCCACTGTTTGACCTTTTTGGGTTTCCCTCTTTGGCCCGTTTTAGTCATGGCCCCTAAAAGCTTCACATGTCCTTTTCTGGGTCCTTTGGGCAACTGCTCAATTGCTGATTGGTGTAGGTAGATGTTTGAATTTGCTGCGTCGGCCTTTGTTCAACCACAAGTAGCCTGGGCCTAGCTTGTCCGTGGCGTCAGTTCTGATCCACGCAATACAGCGTTTGACCTGTGGACGATCCTGAGAGTCTTTTCGCTGGAAACTACCATGTTGCCCCTCACTCTAAACTAGACCTACTCCCACCCTAAACCAATCCACTCACCCAGGCCCAATCCACTCGATCAGGTGGGTCTTTGGTGCAGTTGGGTGAAATGCTTCAGTGCCGACTCATTTAATTAGGTTAAGTAACTTAACCAAAATGACTTGGAATTGTGCCACCTATTTTTGCTCTACAAGTCTTACCGCAAAGACTCCAAGTATTTTGGATGTCCTTGGGTTAAAACGGGGGGTCAACATACATCAGAACGTATTTGGACCATACTCTTCCTCCCACACAGATAGCACCTGGCAGGAAGATCAGTCTCCTCTTAAAGGAGCGCCCTGTCTGGTGCTATGTTAGTGGGAGGGTAGCCAGTGGAAACTGTGTGCCCTAGGTTTCCTTTTCGGTTGTTCTGGTAGAAAATGGTGGTGTTGGTTCGTCTGGTGGTTCTTCTTCATCTACCGGGGCCATCTATTGCCCCTAAAAGGACACCTATGCTGCGTGCCCTTTGTCCGTAGGTGACCATCACCTTCCTGCAGAGCTTGCTGCAGATCTGCGTGGAGCACATCGACTTCGCCATGAAGGACCCCCAGAGCGAGCAGGACCGGGTCGGTTGGGGTCTGGCGTTTGCCCTACCCTCCACCTATGGAAGTGGACAGGGAGCTTGGTCCCCAACAGCAACATCATCTTCCAAACCCTCCTATGAGCTATATTGGAGTGGAATCTAAAAGGATGATGCTGGGAAAGTATTTGAATTCTAGGGTTGGTTGTCAGCAGGGGTCTTGGGAATGAACCTGGGAACCCCCAAGGAATCTGAAAGCGGCTCTGGTGATTCCCTGATTCCTGAAGCTGTGGCGCCTGCTCCAAGGAGTTTGGGTTGAGGTTGCTGTGGGGTTGCAACCTAGGTGCTCGCCCCCCCTTCCTGAGAACCCAGGGCCCTGAATGTTTTCGGCCCTTTCATCCACACGGACCTCTCATAAGAAGATGTTGGTAGCTCAGCTTTCTATGAGTTCCGCCCGGAGAACGAAACCGTGCACTTGAGTTTTGCTGCGTCACCTCTGAAAGAGGCTTTAAATTTAGTTACTCTTGGTGGGATGGCGATTCCACGGTTTGAACCGGCGGTTTCATTTTTCCAATTCAGTGGATTGCATCCTTACTCCCTGCCTTTTTGCCAGGTTCAGAAACCTGGCCCCTGGCGAACCAAAAAAAATGGTTCCAACTCTTTTCCTACACTTCGACTGGCTGCGGGAAAGGCCATATTTGAAGTCTCCGATTCTTGTGGGTGAAAGGGACATATGTTTGGCTATGAGTTTTGGGACACAATTCCCTTAGTTGTGCCCTCCAAGGGATCCCCAGAGGACTCATATCCACGGCCCGCAGATCGTCTGAGATGGTTTGTGTCCTTTTGCCCCTTCTACCAACCAGAGAGGCCAATCAGAAGGGTTTCCTTGGTGCATGGGTATGTGGCAAATGTTTGGCGTACCAGCCCAAAATGGTTTTCGTTGTTTTCTTCTTCTATTTTTTCTCATTCTGTTTTCCAACAAAGGGAAGGATACCTTTCGTCTCAAAAAAGCGAGCAACACCCACATTTTTGTTCACCCCACCCTTCCTGTCGCCCAGCTCCCCTGAGGTTCCTCGAAAGGCCTCAGTGGGGCCTTGTTCAGTTCGATTTGACTTTAGTTTGTTTTGGTTTTGATGTGGGAAAGTTTGTATGAATCGAGATGTTTCTGAATTCTAGTTTTATTTGATCTAGATATCTTATCCTTTTTTTACAATTGAATGTGGGCAAACCAGCGGGTTGGACCTGTTTTTTTTTTGTTCCGCGTCAGGAGGCGAAGAAGGCCAAGGCGCATCTACAGGCCACCATGACCTATCTGAAGAAGATGAAGGAAAGCCCGCAGCCCCAGAGAAGTTGATCAATGCTTGGCAATGCCTGGCTCATTTTCTCCCCGTAGTTTTCCTCTGTTTTTTGTGGTTCTAGCTGGTGGTTGGAATGGCGCCAAGGGCTAGGGCTAGTAAAATGTGCCTTTCAAGAGCGAGCTATTCTGCAAGGACATGGTAGGTTCGAACATGTTTTTAAAGCTCATTGCAGGTGAGTTTCCTTTGTTTCATGTAGGGGTGAGTTTGCGAATGTGCCGATTTTTCTCGAGAAGCTCAAAGGGCAAGCACGCACCATCGCTAGAGCTTTACTTAGGGATCCAAATTGTATTCGAGGCTTGGGACTTTTGTACAACAGCAGATTGAACTGCCTGGCTGCCCTTGGGTTTGTGCTTCTGGATCAAGACTGGGCCAGCCAAAGGCCAATCAAGGGCCACCAAGATGGAGCTCACCTAGGGAATGAGTCGGGCGATTCTGTATTTCCAGCTGAACAACACGCCTCCATGGTTGCTTTTTGGGATTCGGCCTTGACTCCCGGGACATCCTTAAGCTGGAGAGGGGACGGTTCAGGAACCGTCAAGAAGGACCAGGGGATCACGAACAATACAACTGACCCAAATTGCGCAGTTGCTTAGAATCTGCTTTTCCTTGAAGCAAGACACCTGAATTACCAGTGCTTTCTGAATGGTGCGTGATGTTTGTTACTCTTTCTTGCGTGGCTGGCTGTTGATCGACGTAGTCAAGAGAGGTCTTGGGAGTATGAAATATGCTCTAGATCGCAACGGTGTTCACCGTGTGGTAGGCCTTGGCCTGAGCAAGGCATTTTATTTTGACGTCAAGATCAACATTCCCCCGCCCATATCAAAGCTCCCAGCAATTGAATTGAACCAAGCCAACCCCTTCCAAACCCACCTGTTGGTGATCTTGGTGGTGTCTATGGTGCGTGGACAGGTCCTGATTTCAGACTCCAGGCAAGGCTCTTGAGGACCGACTCCTAAAAAGGCCACCAGATCTCCAATGTAATGATGGACATGTATTGTGCACAGTGAAAAGGTTTGTGACGGGTTAGTTTTGCAGCCCCCATTCGGAGCAATGAATGCAAGGGTGCAACGCGCTGGCCCTTTGCACCACAACTACTGATACTAATCATGCTGCGTAGAGGTCGTGCAGCTTTGCTAGGCCGGGTATCACCAGGCTCGATGTGCACGCTCGCCCTTGGATTTACGACAGGCATGGCTGGGCCTCTGATCATTGTAGATATTGTAGGCCCTGTTCTTTCCAGACCCATTTGAGCCGCAGTCAAAACTCCACCCAAACCAGCCCAAAACTAGTGCAAAAACCGGGCCGCACTCCTCGCGCAAATCAGCTCCGAGCCGACTCAAAGTCAACCTTAAACCCTCCCAACAGCATCCTGGATATCAGCCCTTTGCAAAGCCTAAATGAACCAAACAAACCCAAGACCCGCCCTCATTAAATAAGACCTTAGCAACCCAATAATCCCCCGAAACCACACCAAATCGAAGCCAATTGGCAGCCCTAGTCCGAGCGAGGCCAGTCATGCCCTGGATGCGGGGGATGTGGCCCACCAACCCGACCCCCAACCTCGCCAAACTAGGCCCCAGAGAATACCGCCTGTTGCCCTCAACCTGAGAGCGGAGCAAGGGTTCCCAGCCAACTTCTTCAGAGCCACATGAAGGTGGCCTTGTGCTGAGCCGGGGCTAGTGAAAAGCCGGGGCGAGTAATCAAAAAACACCTCAACCCTCATTTTACCCCCGAGCCTTGGCCTATGAATTCGCAGGCACTCACGTAAGCTTGAGGCCCGGATGCTGGCCTGGCAGCTCGCTTTGCCGAGCTGACGCTGAGCTGAAGTTCAGCATGGGCTGCAGAAAGGATACGAAGGGCCAGTGAGAAACATTACCCAAATACCAGCTCAGTTGCAGAATGTCTGGTGGTTTTGGGATGCATGTCTTACGGGGCCCGGTTCAGACCCTTAGGTGCAGAATGATCGAAATGTAAACGCGTAGAGTGCCAGTTGTGTTTCCCCCTACCGAAATGATAGACTGGAAAAAGGCTAAAGGCGGAAGGTACGCACCACCTGAACTCCTGGCCTGACGGTTAGACTTGCTGTTCTTTTGAGAACAGGCTGGGCCAGAGGTTGCCTGGGCCGCGGTTGCAAACCACGGCTCATGCCCGTAGAAAAGCAAAGGGCGCGCTCATCATTTACAAGTCCGAGACGACAAAAAGTGCGAAGCAAGTGATGCATGATGCACCCAGACTAACCATCCAGATGCCAAGACACACATCTACTCAAGCACGCGATCTTACCGTATACCACATATATATATATATGCATATATGCATGTATGCATATTATATGCGTGTACGCATATATGTTACATGCTTATACCTGTATAGGTGTACACATGCATTTGTTCATCAAACCCAATTCATTGGATTTGACGAATCACATGCTTGCCGCAATGAGGTCAGTGGAGAGTTCAAGTGCGTTTGAAGGCCTTGTTACAGTAGCTCCTCACGCATGGGAACATTCAGCCTACTTTGCTTTTGATCCTGTACGAACTGCTTGGCTCAAATTAGGCCAAGCCGTTTTTGTTTCTCATTTTTTTTCGTATGTATCCTTCGAGAAGCCCTGTTCAAGCGGCGGCTGCAATCTCCCTGCCTTACTTAGCACCTTGGAAGGGTGGCCTTCTGATGGAAGAAGAGCCTTCGGAGGTATGAAGGTTGTACAAATTGAAAGCTTGTATTATCAACTAGTATGCATTGGTAGTTTATGGCTACACAATTTCACAGGGAAGCCCTCAAATGTGACTGGTGGACATACATGCCCCCATCGATATTACCATCCTTACCTCCAAAAGCCATACCCGGCAATGCCCTTAAACCATCGCATGCTCTAATCGTGCCACGAGCTTCGTGAACGCCTTTCGGGATTCACTGCGAGTTGCAGATTTACCGCTTCTTGGTTGGGTCATGGTTCAGCCAGATCCGCATGCCTCGGGATATGCATCACCTGCTGGCCATGTTGCTGGAGCCGGACGGACCAATCGGGAGCACCGCTTTCCCTGCAACTCATGCCTTCTCATGGGAGCAAGTTGGGGAGGGTTTGCGTATGAATGGACCGCAGCATTGAGGTTCCGTGCCTTTGCTTGAAAGCATTGAATGGGTCCCTGTTCGCGGCAAAGTGCCAATCTTGCCAGGAATGCAGCCGTCGGCTCAAAGGAGCAGCCGGGGTCAACAAGGGCAAAAACTGCCAGCTTCAGCTGTCAAGGGCTGCTCCGGAGTTTGTTTGAGTTCCTCGCTACTGTTGCTACGGGCAGCTGGTCGACCTCGCTTTCAGTTGGTGGACGTGCTTCATAGAACATTGGAAGGCAGTTTGCCCACACTCGCACACTCACACACTCACACACTCACATACATGGTCGCAGGAGAACACTTTCTTAAATCCGTGCAGCGACTGACCGCCCCTGGATCAGCAATGCCGCCAGCCTATGAGCTTGCCGAATTGGATGACTCGGAGTCTGGGAGCGAGTCTTCCTCCCAGGTGGACGTAGATTGTATGGCCGACTTGTTTCAGGTCTGCTGCGGCGTCTTCTGCTGCTTGTGGATCCTCTTCATCACGGTGGGCTCTGAGGTGGTGGCCTGGAACCGGCAGGCGAGCTGCAGCGGCAAGGAAGGAGACGGCCGAATCCAGTGGAACGCAGTGCTGCCGCCCGAGACCGCCACCGCAATGCGGCTGGGGATCCCATCCTTGCTGTGGCACCAGGTAGACGTGTTCAATGGGAGCACCGCTGACGGGCAGAAGCTGGGATACTGGTCCAACGTGGACCTGTTCCTCGGGAATGTCCAGCCCCGCGGCAGAATAAAGGACACCGTCTCAAGCCATGTCTCAGTTTTGCTCATTGACTGAGTTGCTCTTTGCAAGTCACAGCTTACTGCTTTTGAAAGTGAACAAATGAAGCACGGAGACAGAAGCGGGACAGAGGGAGAAAGAGCAAGAGCAGGAGAAAGACAAAAGCATATCTTGTTATACTATTCCTATTTATCATACCTGTGAGGGTAATATGTCCAATATTCTAGCAAATCTAAACCAATCCTGAACCTAATCCAATCCAGTCTATCTATCTATCCTACCGGCCTATCCTACCTAGCTACGTATGTGAGCATCTTTCTATTGTAACATGATCTAATCTAACCTAGTCTAACCTGATCCAAAGGATCTATTTGTGTATCTATTTGTTTGTTTGTCTGTCTGTCTCTCTGTGTCTGTCTGCGTCTGTCTGTGTCTGTCTGTGTCACACTCTTGTGTGTCTGTCTGTGTGTCTGTGTGTCTCTCTGTGTGTCGGTCTGTCCTTCCGGTCCGTCCGATCGGTCGGTCCGGTCGGTCTAGTCGGTCTGGTCGGTCTGGTCGCTCTGGTCGGTCTGGTCGGTCTGTTCTTTCCTGTTCTGTCCTGTCTGTCTGACTGTCTGTCTTCGGGTCTGCGGGTCTGCCTGCCTGCCTGCCTGCCTGCTTGCCTGCCTGCCTGCCTGCCTGCCTGCCTGCCTGCCTGCCTGCCTGCCTGCCTGCCTGTCTGTCTGTCTGTCTGTCTGTCTGTCTGTCTGTCTGTCTGTCCACGCGTCTATCTGTCTATCTTTCTATCAACCAATGTCTTCTCCCTATCGGTCTATCATATCTATCGAGTTGTCGATTTAACCAGTGATTCCATGTGTCTACGTCTACCTGTTTATCTATGTGTCTGTCTATGTGTCTGTCTATGTGTCTGTCTATCTATCTATCTATCTATCTATCTATCTATCTATCTATCTATCTATCTATCTATCTATCTATCTATCTATCTATCTATCTATCTATCTATCTATCTATCTATCTATCTATCTATCTATCTATCTATCTATCTATCTATCTATCTATCTATCTATCTATCTATCTATCTATCTATCTATCTATCTATCTATCTATCTATCTATCTATCTATCTATCTATCTATCTATCTAATCTAATCTATCTATCTATCTATCTATCTATCTATCTATCTATCTATCTATCTATCTATCTATCTATCTTTCTATCCGTCTATCTATCTATGCATCTATCCATCTTGCCATCTATGCATCTATCCATCTTCTTTCCACCCATCCATCATTCTATCCATCTACCCATCTTTCCATCTATATATCCATGTATCTGTGAGTCTGTCTGTCTGTTTGTCTATTTGTCTGTCTGTCTTTCTGTCTGTCTGTCTGTCCGTCTGTCTATCTTGTCTATCTTATCTACAAGTATCTATTTGTCTATCCGTTTGTTAGTTTGTTTGTCCGCCTGCCTGCCTACCTGTATTTGTTTTCATCTATCGTATCTATTTGATCTATCTTGTCGGCGTTTTGTCTGTTTGTCTATCTGCTTGTCCACAGTCTATCCCTCCCTCCGTCCGTCCATCCATCCATCCATCAGAGCATCGGCAGGACATCAACCACCAAATGCATTGATTGCCGACTCTCATGATCCGGAAGCCACTGAGGAAGTATGCTTATGTGGTGGACGGCGAAGGCGCCCTCCTGGAAGGGTGGCGGCCATGGGGAGTTTACCTCGGCTCCAGGTATCACCTCTGGTTGTGCTCCAGCTTGGTGCGGGAGAATCTTGGAATGAGATTGCCTCGATTTTGCGCGGCCACGAAACCAAGGGAAATGCAGGGCACTTGGCAAGTGGGGCCCCGCCAAAAGTTTAGAGTTTATGTTCTGCGACATTCCAGAGCTGTAGAAGACAAGTCGCCCAGGAATTCAACTGAGAAAGCAATGGCCACACGTGAACGATTCCCGCGCTGTGCCATGACAACGCAACGGCAAGCAAACAGGCCTTGACATGGTTCTTCATAAAACTCAGGAAGAGACCTGGAGCCACTGACACAGGTTTGGAGGCACGAATCAGCATAGCTTCTTTGTCCTTGCCAGGGATCCTCTACCAGGGGACCCGGCGCTGCGCGGGCTGTTTCTCAAAGGTCAACACAACAACCAACAATAGCATCCAAGCTGCTTGCAGCAAAAGTTCTCGCCAAATGCTGGGGATGCTAGGGAGCGTGGAACATATCAGTGGTATCGTATCCTAGCACCCTGAAACAGGACTTTCGGCGTGTTAGGCTGGCTAAGCCTGTCACAGGGCTTGCTTGCAGGGTGAGGCCAAAGCAGGTGTTAAAATACGTTTAAGCCCAGTTGTTCAAACAGCCTCCTTCATGGTTCCTCCTTAAAGCTGGCCCATGTCTGGTTTTCTTCAACAAATGAGGTGGTGTTGCTCTGGGCGAATTACCCAGTTTGAGATGTGTTAACGGGAAACCGCCAATTTTTGCGGAGACCCGGCTGTCATTTCTTGTCTTGGGGGTGTCCCCTATATTGACATATACCCACACTTTACCCAAGCCGTGCGCCTGCTTTTCGCGAAAACGCTTGAGGTATGCCATCGAGGAGGATTGGTGGGGAAGGCCTTGGTGGAGCTTCGGCACGGATAAGATCTTCAACATTAGATCTTGGGCTGCATTTTTGTTGCAGTCTGGCCTCTCAGTGAAGTGAGAAGTCAGGACCTGAACATTGCTTGTGAACCCCAAGAGAATAATGCCGGCGGACATGTGCCAAAGAAGCACCGGGGTGGAAGGCCTTGTCTCCCATTTTGGTAAATCAAGAGAAGCAAGGGAAGTTGACATGGTTTGGAAATTGGGGGTTTTGGCTCACTTTCCGCGGTGCCAAGCCAACCCCGTCTCACGGACGGTCCACTTTCGTATTTCAGAAAGGGTTGACAGTTGTTTCCCACAACCATGCTGTCGGAAGGCCTTGCCTCTGTGTTTCGAAAACGGGATTGTGCTTTGTTTGGCATTTAAGACGTCTAACCCCCCTTGTGCAGTGGTGCTTGTACTCAAGTACTTCACCCATGCGCACAGTGCAAAGGGGGTCAACCGCGATGAAGCCACCTGCAGTGGCTTCAGCTTGCTGAGGGAAGAAAGCTAGATATCCCTGGGAAGAAGGAGCTGGGATGCACTCGGGTTGCACTTGTCTGCTCCAATCATGTTGGCAAGGCTCTTTGCCCCAATGCGAATGAACCCCTAGTTGTTCATGGCTACAAAGCTCTTCAACGCTTGAGCGCTAGGAGCAGGGGGCGTTTGCAGAGTTGAGGACGTTTCATTGACATTGACAAAGGCCCCGACAGCTCCAAGGATCCAACATCCCAGCGAACTGCTGGACCGTCAGGCTGTAACACACCACTTCCCAGCCGGCATGCGCTGGGTCAATAGGGAGTTGTCCTTTCCGGGATGGGAACGGCTTCCCCAAAGGCTGTCAAATGGCCACCAAAGTTTTGCGAACGAGGTCGCTGAACCATTTGATAAGTGCTGGGGTCATAACTAGGGCCCCACAGCTTTCCACTCTCCGTGACCGAGCCGAATTCACTCAGCCGAGTTGAGCGGCCGAGCGGGAAGTTGGTGGCCAAGTCCCAGCACAAAGTCCAAGACATGTGGTCCCTCAAAGCGTGCCTTGGATGCGTGGACATCAAGGGATGCCAAAGGATCACTCTTCTAAGAAACGCTCACAGCCATCAAATTCTTGGGTGGGGTGCAGTCTGAAACGCATGTATGTCATTATTTTTGTACGCCTTCGATGCAATCATGTGTCAATATGTCGGGCTCCAGACGAGGTATTGGACAGCCTCGCTAGAAAGTCCCGCTGGCACAGCGATCGCCACACTCAGGCGCGACAAGGTCTCCTCGCTTCTCACATGCACTCTATTTGTTCAATCTTCCTTGACTACCACTTTGCTGTTGATTCTGTGCCTGTGCATGCCCGTGCTGATGATGCCGGCTGCAGCTGTAGAATGCAGCCAGCCCCTCGGTAAATTCCATGTGGCTTGACTCTTCGCGCGCGCGTGCAGGCAAGAGACGCCCGTGATCAACTGGTTCTTTTACGGCACTCAGAAGTGGCTGATGGCGAATCAGCGTCCAGACCTCCTCCCCAATGAGGCGGGAAAAGTCAAGCAGCCCAGGCCACCGTTAGCTGTCTCCAAGTTTCTTCTTCTAACTCAAGCCATCCATTGGGTCGGCCGGCGATGTGCATGCGTGAAATGTAAATCATTCCGTTGCAGGTGGTCTCTTTCCTCGCTGCGGTGTACGACATAGACAAAGTTCGTGACACCAACGACTGACTGCACATATCCTTTGACCCGAGAGGGCCAAAGATTTGTCCAATCGCGGCATTGGGGGTAAGCCTCCTGTTGGTCCTTTCGAACAACTTTGCCGCAGTTGTAGCCCACTGCTTGTCCAGCTCAATTGTGGATGGACAACAAGTTGTATTAGTTGGGATGGACGAAGCTCTATAAACCACCGGCCTTTGTCCACCCAATGTGCCAATGTTTCCAATTAAATGGATTTCATGACACCGAGCGATGGGCGAACCGGTGACTAAAATCTTAATCAAGCCGTGATTTGTTTACCCATCCAAATTCCAACACAGGAGTTATTACTTTGAACTATTTCTGTGGGTTTTGAATATTACAGGTGTGCTTTGCTAACAGACATCCAAACCATCTCCAAACCATTATTTCACATACATTATATATATATATATTTATTACAAAATATATTTAAACTATTATAAATAATAATGAGATTCATATTATGAATTTAAATGATATGTAATTATATAGATTTATTATATTTATATATTGTGGTAGCACGAATAGTATTTGGTTGGTGAGGTGAATTTGTTGAAAGGTTAAATTTAAATTGAATAATCGAATTATTTATTTGGAAAAGATTAATTAATTTATATGGAATATAATATTATGTTTTATTAGTATTTTTCGCCATTTTGTTTTTGTATATTGATAATTGGTTTTTAAATTGATATGAATTTATTTGATATAGAAATTGATATTTTTATTAACAACATTTATAATATAAGTGGATTAAATATTTGTTGGCTTGATTTTTGGATTTTTAGAGAATTTTATTATATATTTTGTCTGGAATTATATGGTTGCCCGAATAAATATTGAATATAGGTTAGGATTATTTAAGGAATTGATTGGGTTAAATTGTTTCGATTATTGGATATATAATTTTTGATTTTAAGGAAATATATAAAGATATATTTTATTGGCATATTTTTGAATTGGGGGTATAAAGAATAATATGTTGAAATAATATTTTATATATATATTTTAAGGATTCGATAAATGGAATAATTTAATTATATATATTAATAGATATAAATAAAAGAATACATATTTTGTTTTTTAATAAACAAAATGAATTAATTGTTATATCATTTTTTTTCTTTTTTTTTTTTCCTCATATAGTTGGTTATATTTAATGTGTTTAAAACATATTAATATTTAGATATATTTATAAGAAACATATAGAAATTATTAAAATAAATTCAAATTACTTTTTATATATTATATTTTTATATATTATATTAAATTATATAATATTTAAATTTAGAAATATGTTTATGAAAAAAAATATCCAAACTTGAAAATTATTTGGTTTAACCATATATTTATATTCTAAATATTATTATATTTAATAATAAAATTAATATTTATATATATATTTTTAGAAAATATAAATTCATAATATATAAGCATATAGATATAAATTAAAAATTAAACTAATATAAATTAATGTAATTTATAAAATATAATAGGCTAAACAATAAATAAAGAATTACTATAAATAACAAAACAACCAATATATATAAAACACACAACTAGTCAAACACACAAAAAACAACAAACCATTGTATATATAACCATGTCCAAAATTCCTTTACCCATAATTGGGCCCTAAGGCCACATTTGCGCCATCTTTACACGGATTTACATATACAGAACAGGTAAACTATAATTTTCGTGTGCTATACAAATTTTAAGTAGTATTTTTGTAGCAAGTCATATATGTTCTTCATTAAAATCATTATAATATATTTTTATATCAATAAGATATAATATTATTTATGATATAATATATATATATAACCCAAAAAATAATTAGATTATAACAACCAATCTATTACTTACCCATATCATTAAATATATACAAAACAATATAACTATATATATTATTATCATTTCTTATATTTATACATAATATATGTAAATTCAATAATTATTTATTGAATTAATAAATATATAATAAATAAATTTTAACCTATATATAACCCAAATAATATTCGAAACATATAAATATAACAAACATATGGTTCCTTTCATAAATAATATTAATATAACAAATCCTTCAATTAAATAAATTTATATATCCCTAAAACCATACTTATATATTCCTTACAAATATAGCATTTTATTTATTTGATAGTTCTCCTTATTCGACGATAATTAAACTCAAAAATTAAGATCTTAATTTGGCCCTTATATACACTAATATATATCCCATAAACACATATTATTCCAATTCAAAATCAATCTACAATTTTCTAATATAAATCTAATATCATCATATAATATCATATATTAAAAAGAACCCATGAATTTCATCAACGACAATATCAACAAAAAAATCAAAGAAAAAAGAAAAAGACAGAGAAAAAAAGAAAGAGAAACAAAAAGAGAAGAAAAAAAAGACAAACAAAAAAGAAAACAACAAAAAACACAAAGCAAACAAAAGGGAAAAGAAAGAAACAATAAGAAAAAAAGAGGAAAGAGAAAAAGAGAAAGAGAGAGAAAGAGAGAATGAAAGAGAGAAAGAGAAAGAGAAAGAGAAAGAAAGAGATGGAAATAAAGAAAGAAACAAAAAGAAAGAAACAGACCTATGGCAGGAGGAATTGTTATTAATAAAGATATCCGAAATAAAGATAATAGCTCCTCAAATATATCCGGCCCCGGGAAAAACTAAATTATTCCTCATTTTGTAAGCGATATAATAATACCAAAGAAAAAGAAATTATTTTTTTAAGAGAAAAAACAATAAGAAACATAGAGAAACAAAAAACAGAATGAAAGAAAACAAAAAAAAACAATAAAAAACAGAGAGAAAAAAAAAGAGAAACAAAAAAAAAAAAAAAATAAGCAAATTTACAACAAACAAAAACAATAATAAAAACACTCAATAACGAAAAACAAAACAAAAAAAAAAAAAAAAAACAATATATAAAAACGCGAAAATCTGCTATCTTTATAAACCGACCGGTAAAAACAAATATAACCAAACCAACAAATAAAAATACAAAAAAAATAAATAAACACCATCACACAAAAATACATAAAGACAAACCAAAACAACCCAAGAAAAAAAAAACCCAAACACACGGAAACAAACTAAAAAACACACAAAAAAAAAAAAAAACCCAACACGAAATTTGCGAGAAACTTTCGATTCAAACAAATCCCAAATTTCGGCCCAATCGCCAGAAAAAAATTGCACAAATAACATCCAACATTCTATAAACCACATCCCCAAAAACAACCCAAAATTCGGAACCTTCCAAACCACATAAAACAAACCCAATTTATATCACAAAAAACCAAAACAAATATAATCTCTCGCCACAAACACAACAATTCGGCCAAAATACCACTATAACGATTTACCAATACACGAAAAAATAGGAAATACGATTTATACCAATTTACAAAAAATATTAAATTAAATATACTAATTAAATCAATATTCAATACAATATATATATATATATATATGTCTATTCATTATATATAATATCAAATCAATCATTTTAAATATATATATATATATATATTTCTTAATATATTAAATTTATATATAATAATTCCTGGATCATATTGAGATTATATATATATATATCTTTTTCTTTACAAAGGACGTTTCCGAATCATTGTATCGGGCTGAAGGAAGAAGGATATGCAGCGACATCCTCCCTTTCTTAAAAAGAGGCTTTGAGCAAACACGGAAAATTCTAAGGCTTTAAACGGGTGTCTTTGGGGATGGGATGGAGTACGACCTTCCTCCAATCAACACAAAAGAGGCCGACACCTTGGGCGTCGGCCTCACGGTCAACAGCGGTGTGAACATTGCGAAGCTAGTGGCAGATTTCAGCTACAAAGGTGTGGAACCTTTGTTTGTTTTTGTGGAAGCATTTCTTGGTTGCTTGAATGGAAACCAATAGACAACCACCATTTCCTTGCCCCCCCCCCCCATCCAAGAAGCTAAAGTGGAGGCAGATCATTGTGATTCCTTGTTGCACCACCCTATTACCTGTCATGTCTGCACAAGCCGCATCCGCCTGATCTGCAAATCGCATGCGGGCCATCGCCATTGCAGCGATGGAAGGTGCTGTGTGACGAGTGGGTGGGCGTATCTACGTATCCAGGCAGGAATCCATGTATCCAGGCATCCATGTATGTATGTATTTATGTACGTACGCAGGTAGGTAGGTAGGCACGTATGTACATACACACAGGTAGACAATGTTGAACAATGCAAAATCAACAAAGTAATTGGCTGCATGAGGCATTGTTCCTGTCTCAATTGAAAACGGAACTGATCCAGCACTGAAATCTCTGGGGTTCCCTTTTTCAGGCGGCTCAACACAACACCAGAGTCCAAGAGCAGGCTTTATTTTGGGAAGATCTCCAAGTGGTCACCACGTCGTTGAGAATGTACCTACACCTTGCAACATTAGCGGAAACACCGGTTCAACTGGCAACAGTTGCTGAAATGCTTGATCGCTTTTAACAGGGGAAGTGCACGGACCCGCAAAAGGGGCGGCTTCTGATCACCTCTCGCTGCGAATTGCGGGGCGTCAAATTGAAGGCGCTAGACCTCACCGAAGTTGTTGGCAACCCAGGTGGGAATCCTGGCAATCGAGGGGAGGCTATGTCGGTTGCGAAATCTGCTCCCCTGCTATAAGTGACCAACTTTTAGTGGTTTAATACGGAACACCCATGAGTTGGCAAAAAGTGAAAGTCCTAACATGCAAACTGTTTTTCTGTCGGGTCCCCAAAAGTCAAATTTGTGTTCCAGCAAGACATTTCACCAGAAGATTGCAAATTCATCCCTAGCCCTCGACTAGTGCCTCTGGGGGATCATTGAAAAATGGTGGCGCAAACTGATTTTCACCGTTGGCTTCCCCGGCTGTTTTCAGGCTTCGTGGTGTCGGACTGGTAGGCGTCAAGGAAAATCGGCGTCATTTGCAACTTTCTTCATCTCAACGTACGACCCAGCGCCGTTTCACACCCCACGGAACCACATCTCACCCCACTGCTTCACAAGCAAATCCTACTGGCACACCGCATGAACAATGCGCGTTTATGTTGCAACTGCCTTGTCCGGCGCGTTCATGCCAAAATGTTTGCACATTAGCCTCTGCTTGTCTGAGCTAGGCTGCGAGCTTAAAAAACGCTCGAATCGTGTCCACAAACTCTTGGCACACCACACTTCACCAACATTCGCTGCGAT